TCGGGTGACCTAGGTGGCCACTCTATTGATCCACGTCTGCCTATCCACCGGTTTGGGAAAACATCATCTAGGAATCTTCTAACAATCGCAGCATAATGGGGCGGTGCCCCGTCCTGTTGAAACCATAACGCTTGGTTTGGCATGTCTGGCATATTTTCATCAGGATACAGTGTCGCCAGTGCTGGAATCAAGTCGTTTACTAAAAAGTCATGATAACGTTCTCCCGTCAAAGATCCTTCAAAGAAGTATGGTCCTATTACTCTGTTATTAATAATCCCTGCCCATACATTCACCTTTTCATTATACTGAGAATGACTTTCCGTAAACCAGTGTGGATTTGCTGGTGCCCAGTACCTAAAATTTTGCCTATTTACTTCTCCATTCAAACAAAACGTTGCCTCGTCTGAAAAGCATATCTGTTTTACTAGTCTAGGGTTATTATCAGTTCTTTCGGTCATGGTCTGGCAAAACTCGTTTCTGCGATCTGGATCATCTTCAAGTAGCTCTTGAAGTAATTGAATTTTATAAGGGTGCCACTTTTCCTTCTTTAAAAATTTTGTTACAGTCGATCTATGAACTGTATTATCTAAAGCGAGCTGAGTACTTGAGAGGTTAGGATTTTCGTTTAATGAAACCAGGATATCCAGTTTTTTGTCATTAGGAACGCCGGGCCTACCAGGTTTGCCAAGATCCTTAACAGTTCCAGTCTCTCTCCACTTAGCCTCAATTCTACTGATTGTAGACTGACTTACAGGTTCTCTGTTCGGATATTTATTGTTGAACATTATTCGAACTTCGTTGTGTGTTCTAGTTTTCTCACCACAGCCAAGCATAATTAATATTTCGATTCTCTGAGTCTCAGTTAAACGCATTGTAAATTTCAATTAACAATACAGTTCAAACTTTTAAGTAATTGACACAATGTGAAGACTAATGTCAAATATTCACAAACAGTGTAAATATTTCGTGAACAGTTGAAGATAGGTATAGGACATTATACACAAAACATGTCCAGAATTTTTCGGAAAATCCGAAAATGCAAAAATATATAGGTTCCATTTAAGAAAAAAAAAATTCTGCCACGCTTTTTTGAGGCACCCTGTATATCTACATTTTATGTCAAAATATGCGCAATCTAAAAACAAAATCGACGTATCCGAGGATTTTTCCTAAAAAAATTACACATTCTTTTATTGAAATTATCCGTTATTAAATCACAACCCTGTATATATAATATGATTTAGGTTTATTTATCTATGCATAAACCCTTGCCGCATTCATATGAGATATGAGTGCAAAGTGAAAAGCGAATGCGAGAAGTCGGGAACCTAATCTATGAATGATGCGAGACTTGACTTGAATTCGAATTCTCTGTATTCGAATGATTATTCGATTCTGAAAAGTATTCGAATGCAAGCTATACGATTCTGAATTTTCTCGATTCTGCCCATCACTACTTCAGATTGCTTAATCTGTACTTTAAAAATCGTATACAAAAATTGTCGCGATAAGAACTAGGTCAGATGAATTAGGAGATAAATGGGTATTAAAGAACGAAAAGCGGTTAAAAAACATTAACAGATTTAAAAGAGTGACTTTCTATAACCCTGTACCTCGAATACCGAGTCTCGTAGGAAAAAACTTTATAGAGGAAATTCTACTTATTTTTTGGTCATCAATCTAGTCCTGCAGATTCTGTATTTAAAGTGTATATTATTTATAGCTAAACTCCTCATCCTTGTCAAATTAAAAAAAAAAATGCCTACTTTATGTCTCTACTTTTAAATATTTACTTCAGGCGTAAGAGTGATTTGATTAGTGTATCAGGGTATAAATATTTAAGGGGTGATTTATCATGTCACTGTCATTGAAAAACTTAATAGAGGTAAATTGTTTATTATAAATTTTATATTTTAATTTATATGGCCTTTATTTTTACTTGGAATATTCCCGGAACATAGTTTATATACTCAGAATACACAATCATTTAGATATATAAAAAATACTGAAGATGGATATAGACCTCACCTCAATGTAAGGAGATAAAACAAGGAATATATCCAACATGGAAGCTGTAAGCTAAAGTAGAACTGCAGACTAACATTAGTAGGACTTAAAAGATGGCGTCAACAATAGTTTTATTGATCGTTTACGTATATCGACAATAATTTCCTATGGAACAAGAGCCGTCTTCTGCTTTTGAGATACAGGGAATTAAACATGATTTTTTAGTATCGAATTTTAACCATACTTTTCTAAAAAATAATGTAATACATTGAAATTTGCTAGAGGTAAGTTCTCTGTCACAAAATGTTTACCACTTTCTTACATAGATCTACAGTCCATTTTCCATTACCATAGAATTTTTTGTCTGCAGAAAAAATATGGAGGGATACATCGTTCAAGTATAATAGGTAAAGAGATCTTTCGTGGGTTCATTTTACATTTTATTAAACTCATTTTATGACAATTTATTTTTTATGAAAGATTTTACAACATCTGCACCGGCTTGGGTTATCTCATAATAAGGAAGAGTTTTGAGAAGCTTTATCCAAGCCGTAATTTTAGGATAAGTACCCTCATCGACTGGCACCAGGATATTGGCATTTGTTATTGTGTTGAGTATACTTAAATCAGCGATGGACAAGCTATCTCCTGCTATGTATTTATTATCCTGCAGGAAAGTCTCAACAAATCCGTATGCTTCTTTGTATGCTTCCACATGTTCCTCGGCAACTGTTTTCGCTCCTCTAAGTATAGACACCTAAAGAAAAAAAAAGAATTAAAATATTGGTTTTCCCAACAAACAAATAATAGTTATTTATTGTATAAGTATTTTAAGTAGCATTTTGTCCACGCAAGAGTATTTAATATACTGTTCAGTAGAATAGTACCTAAGGCATTATAACAATTGTTACTGTGAAAGAAAACCGCATTGAAATTGTTCCATGAATTATAAGTACACATATAAGTATCTAGATATCATCTTCTTAATATTTAGAACTGTTAAGTTGGATAAAAGACACTTCAAATTTCGAGCCCTAAGGATGGTGTAAAATAACACCGAAACGTCGGCAATGATTTAAAATATAGTGTTTTTTTATTTATTGATCTTTATCCCACTAAAACTTTGACTTGAATAACTAATCAAGATCGCTAAACAGTGGAAACGTACATGTTAATAAGTAAATAACTTAAATTTGATTTATTATAGGTTTATTATTTATTCATTATTCTACTAGTGAAATAAAATTACTTTATTCAACTAGTGGATAATGATTTTAGACGGTTTGTATGTGTGGATAAAAGTCCGATTGTGGCGATTGTGGATAAAATATATTCTACATAAGGTCATAAGGTTAGTGACTGCAATTTCATATAAATGATTTCATCAGCCTATTTTAACATTATTTTTGTAGATAGGTATTATTCGATTAATTGTTTTTGTAGATCCATACAATGGAACAGCGTTTTCTCTTAAGGAAAAGAGGCAGTTCCAAATTGGTAATTCTCTAAAAATATCTCTTGTTCAGGCACGTATAAAAGTTATTAAAAAAGATACATAAGAACATGTAATAGCAATAATAAAATTGTAGTTGAAGTTAATTCATTTTAACAACATTATATTTTTATTTAATAACTAAATGAAATGTTTCAATATTTTATGTGAAAACAATACCTTTTTGGCCACACAGATAATATTTGTTCGTTCCTGACAATATATACTTCACTTTTAATCAAGTTTGTTCCCCAAACTAACGTGTGAATAGGAGATAGAAGTACATTGAAGGAGTAACGCACTAGCAATATATAAAATTCATAATAAAGTTGAAAAAAATAAAGTTCGGTTATTTTCTGAACGTACCTCGTATATGAGCACTTGTTTATTTGAGATAATGACGGTACTCCTTATCATTTGTAACAGATATCGAAAAATCATAATTGCTTAATTAACCCAAGTAGATATCCTGGAAAAGTAAATACCGAAATTGCAGAATCATTGTCAGAAATAATTATTAGGTAGATAGTTTATTATCATGAAAATGAGATCAACAACCAGCAACCTGGCCGTTCTTTCCCAGTATGCATTGGAAGCGGTGGACAGTGGAGTTCAGTTCGATGTTATATATATATATATACCGACTTTGCAAAGGCATTTAACAGAATTAATCATAATATTCTTTTGCAAAAACTTTACAGCTTTGGTTTCAATTCTGATTTAGTCTTACTGTTACAGTCATATTTATCCGAAAGACAACAGTACTTGGCGAAGTCGGGAGTACCTCAAGGTTCAAATTTGGGCCCACTGTTATTTCTGTTATTTGTTAATGACCCTACAACTAGTCTGAACTGTCGGAAACTAATGTATGCTGATGATTTAAAATTTTGTTTCAAACATTACCTCCTTAAATGACTGTGTTGTGGCTCGTGTGAAGAGTTGTGGCAAAGAATACAAATCGCTGACAACGAAGTCAGACGCAATCCCAATATGTTGTTTCAAACTCGAAGATCTCTCAGAAAACGTGTAAAGTGTATCAGTGTCAACGGTGGATTCTTCGAACAATTACTTTAAGTCATAATTACGTATTTTATTTGTTTTACTGTTAATTGTTGTAATAACACGAAGAAACACTTGGTTTGTTTCGCTTTTAATTTCTCATATTATCAAAACATAATGTTCGTTAAATCGATTTTTCTCGGAAACAAATCGAGATACCGAAATGAAACAAAAGTACATAATTAATGGAAAAATGATAGCTCTTTCAGGTTTTGAATCAAGTTTGATGTTAGATACACAGGGTAAAAAAAGTTTCGGTAAAATTGGTCGTAAGTGGCGCCCTCTAGGAGCAACGCTGAAATTGCAACACGCATCTTATTCGTCGCCTAAAACAATATAGTTTCACAAATTTTCAAGTTCCTAACCTACATATTTTCAGAATAATCGCAAAAAAACTATTTAAAATTTCAACTTTTAACACCCTGTATTTCCGAAACTATTAACTTTCGGATATGGCATGTTTGTGCCAATTGTCACCATTTCACGTGTAGTATCTTCAGCTTTCGACTTTCCCATTGTTAATGAATCACCCTGTAGTTACTTAATTAATAACATCGAAATTAATCGTTTGACTAAAATTAAAGACTTGGCAGTGATCTTCGATCAGGAATTATCTTTTTCATGTTATATCGTGTCAAAGGTCGATGATGCAATGAAGGCTTACGGTTTTATACTTCGCAACTGTAAATCGTTTACACATAGCGTCGCTCATTATTTTGTATTTTTCGTACGTTAGAAATAAACTAGAAAACTGCTCTACTGTTTGGAATCCATTCTATTTATTTAATTTATCAAATATTTATGTTTTAAGATAGATACTGCTTATCCTGAAAGAGGTACACCATATAGGCAACTGATAGATAGTCTATATCTTGTATTTGTGTTCCTCATAAATATGCTTACCCCTGCACGGAGATGTCTGGCAAATAGGATACCAGAATCAAAATGTAATCTTTGATCGATAATGGCGCGTTTTTGTAAATCCTCCGGATATAGTGACTTGTCTTTAGCGTATTTTCCTACTAGGTATGCCATAATTGCATGGCTGTCATATAGTACAAAACCATTGTCATCTAGAGTGGGAATTGTGTGTAGGGGATTTAACTGAAAAAAAAAAAATAGAAAACAAACAATGAAATGTGAAAGTACAAAAACCAAAGCATAGGAGTAGTAACATTAAGCATTTAATAAAATCCAAAGGATAAAGTTTACTATGTTCAATATCACTATTAATACTATGTTTTTTTATTTATGGATACACTGGTATGGTATGAACATAAAATTTGTAATGATTTTAAAGAACAATTTCTTTATTATTTTACTATTTATTAATAATAGTTTTTGTGGTAAAAAGTTTACATAAAAAGAGAGAACTTCATATAAAAAGTATGTATTCACCTTTTTAAATTCTGGATTATGCTGTTCACCATTGAAGATGTTGAGTTGTATTATGACCAGATCTAATCCAATAGCTTTCGCACACATCAAAACAGCTCTTGATGAAGGACTCACTTGGCTATAGTACAATTTTGCAGTCATGGCTGGTCAAATTTTAATTGCTTTCTCTATTGAATAAAAATGTATGAAGGAGTGATAGATACATACTATGGAGGATATTAATTTTAACTGAGAGATTACATGTATCACACTGATAGTGATATGATTTGGTCTTGATAAATAGCAAAACAGCCCAGTCATTTTAGTATTTGAATTCTCGATTTAAGAGGCAAGTTTACACATGTGTGTATGTAAGCGAGCTGCCGGATTTGTTGTTTAGAAGGTTTTTGGGTTTTTCTCGCTCTATGTAGGTATATGTATATGATTGATTGCACTGATCAATGTGTGTTTATATGTATGTTCTAGTATGCACAATAACACCGAAAGAGAATACATATGCGTCATCTTAATATAAAGAGATAAAACAAAATATTTCCAACGCGGACGCTGCGTTACGTAAAGTAGGACTGTGTCTGGGAGATAAAAGATGGCGCTGTCGGTTTTCATTGATTACTTTTCTATACTATATGAAACAACTTATATCGTACTTACCATACCCTGCTCAGTTTAACCATAACAGCACATAGTCTTCATAACGATGTATCGGACTTCTATTACCTGCAATTATTTAATGAAATTTCTAATTTTCACGCTGCTGTCCTACAAAGATGTCCGTTCGGCTATCCCCCAAAAAAATAAGCTGTGATTATTATGATTATGTAGTTTAAAGAATATTATTTTTGTCAGTCCCTTCCCATTTATATTAAAAGCAGCCGCAAGAAAAAACAGCGTTGTCCTTTGGAATAGATTTGTGACAATTAATTGGTATGCCCTTTGGACTTTGTAACACTCGGGCAACATTTGAAAGGAATTTATTGGATTTTTACACTGACTAAAAGTGTTGCTTTTTGCAATGTTTATAAATTTTTTAATTATATATGATGTATTTAGTATTTCGAATACCTACTTTCCAATATTTAGAAGCTTTTATTTAATTATACTGATACGAAAAGTCACCGACCCTGTTAGATTCTTGATTGTTCGTAAATTTAGCATTTTATGTAATATCTGTGAAAGACAGAACACGAAAAAACATGTGAAGTTGGCGGTCTCTATAGAAAGGATAGTCTATTTTATGAGAGACAATAACGTCAGGTGAGGAATAATAGTTATTGATAACATTTCATTTCATTTATCTTTGGACTATTTGTAACGCTTCGGTCATGTTTGAAAGTTTTATGGAAACTATTCTAATTGGTATGATTTTGTCTTCTCTATCTTGATGATATCGCATTACTAATCCAGAACTCTTGACCATTTGGAGAATGTTCAGGAAATCTTTCAACTTTTAAAAGATGTATAGATGTGTTTTATTTATAAAGTAGTTTCAATGTGCTTAGTTTATCGTAATTTTCGATTGCTACACACAAAACATTCATACTATTCATTTAAGTGAAACAGATAAGCACGAAAAAGTTTAATTAATTTCTCTTATTTTACACGATCGAAACAAACTACTAGGATTGCCGTTTTAGAAAAGATATGTCATATTATATAAAAAACCTAACCTCAAAGAAGATATGCCATAAAATATCAATGAGAAACATCTAGTAGATGGTCAAAAACTTATAGACTTACGTATTTAGTACTTCAAAAACATATCTGTACCGAATTTCAAAGCATTACATTCTTTTTTGAAAAAGATATGGCTAAAACTTGATTTTCCAAAATCATATTTGACGCCCTATATTTCAAAAATAAAAAAGACAGGCCCATGGACCATAGGAAAAAATCGTCTTATTTTTCTATGTTCTACCAGCTCCTTATGGAGCCTTTTTCCAAAACACCTTGTACTAGCAGTATGCGGGCGTGTTATAGCACCTTAAAGTTGAAATAAAATTATACAAATTTTCCTGAAACTTCTGAAGATATATTTTTTTAATTTGGCACATGGTCAGTGGTAATAAATGTATTGAAGTGAATATCAATAAAACGTATTGGCAACTTCAAAAAAATTTATTATACACTTAAAATTAAAAAAAAACTATTAATAGCGTAAATATTCTCAAAATACCTGCCCCTGACTGAAGGTAAGCACGAAGCTGTCGTTGAAATTTACACTTCACTATTACAAATTTCAATTTTATTGCGAAGTTCGTTTACAGCATGGTGTATATGAACCTCGAGGTTTCCCAAATTATCTATTGGAGTAAAATAAACTAGGCCTTTAAGGTAAAAATCGCAAGGATTAAGATCAGAAGAACGTGGCGGCCAAGCCATTGGTGAATTTTTTGCTACTACCTATCCATCTTCTGGGATCTTCTGTCCTGGCGTACAGTCATAGAGTATCACGACATGAACCACATATTTTGCCTTATTTCCGACTGAACATCATCAAGAAGGTCGTTTAAGTCGTTTTTAAAAAATCTGAGATAATCTCCTTGTATCCATACATTCTGGTGGAGTTAGCATGTCTCTTGAGGGTTTCATCACTCCATATTATGCCAAAAACAAAAATTCTAGTAAAAGTTGCTTCATTCGTAAACAATACAAAACACAGAAATTGCGATTTCTGCCTAACAGTTACAACATTGTTTTGCAAGAAGCTGGTCTTTTAGGAAAATCTTGATGCACCATCTCTTGTTGAAATGATATGACACAGCGTCAACTGTTGCTCCCTTAACACTCACCATACTACAGACTGTTATACATTACATTGTAGACTGTGAGAAATTTTTCTTGTGGAAACTGTAGGGATTTTCCTATCCAATTTTTCATTGACATTTGTTCGAACATATCGGGTTCGACCAGCATCATTATGCCCGGATATAAGTGAGTTATTTGCCTGTGGCACACGACTATTTGAAAAATTTTCCATATATCGTCCCATGTTCCTCCAAAGTGAGCAACATGTCTGTCTGTTCACTAAAATTTGCCATTTTTGCATAAATTAAATAAAAACTTTTTATAAATAAGCAAGACATTTTAAACAAGGTAATACAGAAATAAATAAAACAAATTTACATTCGACAACTCTTTGAATAAATTCATTGCATGAAACGACTCGAACGTGTCTGACAGCCTTACGTAGACTTGGCATTCCACAAAAGCCCGATTTACATCCAACAATACTTTGGAACATGACGAACAAAATGCTCTCGGTCTGTGTCTAGTTGTGAGTTGGCGCAGGCATACCGCTGCCAACTAAGGTCAACTAGTATCCGTAGGAGTGTCAGCAAGTGTATGTCTGTGCTGTTTGTTTGAGGTTCTCTCGAAACAATGACCGACTTCAAAAACTACCACAGAAGATTCATCGCTGAATTTATCGAATTGTATAAATCGTATCCAACCCTTTGGAACCTGAAGTCCCCCGAATACAACGACAGGGACAGTAAACGAGATGCTTACGTTACACTTATAAAGAAGCTGCAAGAAATAGAACCGAAATGTACCAAGCAGGATGTTATAAAGAAGATTAACTCTTTGCGTAGTGCATTCAGAAGGGAGTACAGGAAAGTGACAAGAATGAGAGCCGTTGGGAAACTTTACAATCCGACACTGTGGTACTATGATTTAATTTCTTTCACGATAAATGGTAGTCGAAGAAAGTTTAGGGTAAGTTCTAATAAACTATACGTTTGTTTTAATGTTTTGTAAAATTTTGACTTACCTGATTTTGTTTCAAACCTGAAAAGCTATTTGGTAATTTTATGTACTTAACATTGTTTTCTAGTTATTCGGATAAGTTTGTTACTTTTTTTTGTGTGTTTTTTTATGCAGTTTAAGCTATATTTGCAAATGATTTATCTTGCCTACTTTTTTCATAACATACAGCTCTTGATAATTTGAAAAATTTTCATTCCTATTTTGGAAATTGGTAATGAAAGACTCAATGGTATTTTAATTTCTTTCAGTGATGATCAAATTTTATTTCACATGGAAAAAAATTGCAGCAAATTTTTTAACTGACTAACCTACCGGATATCATATGCATTTTTATATTTGTGGCATTTGCCTAACCACAAATGTCTCCCAGTGAGGAAATAGATAATTTATGTACGATTATACTATAAACTCTATTTTCATTGTCAACACTAATCAAAATGGCTGATAAATCAGTTGTTTTTTTATGTTGTTCATGTATCTTGCACAGCATATTTAAATAACAATTATGTTATGTTATTGAAATACATTTATCATCGTTTAACAAAATGTTTACGCTTTTCGTTTTCTTTTACCGAATTACTTTCTTTTGCTTGCCACGCATGCTCGCAAAATTTCAAATTTTCAAAACTTCCATTTCTAATGTAAACGTTATTCTTCGGTTCCAATATTTAAAAATAGGTATATTCAGATACACAGGGAGCCCAAGGAAGAATGTAACATACTTGAAGAGCAGCTGCTTCGTTAAAAAGTTATTAAACAGTGTGATACAATTTAAATGGAAATATTCTTGTAAAACAGATATTTACTATCTGATGTACTGGGTGTCTCAAACTCAATAGTATGGGCCTACTGTGAGGATACAAAAAATTTAAATATAATTTTTGACACGTGGTGTAAAATGGGATGAGGTAAGCTCCATTTTCAATCGAAATTATTATCTTTGGGATTTCACAGAAACTACTTATGACGTCATCAATTATATTTTTTCCAGAAACATACCCAAATTTTTTTCCTGTTAAAAAGCTCTCTTTTTTAATAAACTTTTATAAGAGAAATTTTTCTGCGTTACTTCCCGTTTAAAAGTTATAAGCAATATCGTCATAAAAAGTCTCAAAAGAAATACCACCTAAAAATCACATTAGCAGTGGAAGGATTGGAAAATAATTGAATAATAATAATTAATTAATAATTAATTAATTATTAGTAATTAGTATAATAGTAATAATAGTATAATAGTAATAATTAGTAATTAATTATTATAATTAATAAATTATTAATTAATATTAATTAATTAATAATTGAATAATTGAATTGAATTGAAGTTGTTTAAAGTGCATAAATGTCACAAAATACTTGTCATTACTCGATACGAAAGTCAAACGTATAACTTTTGTGCTTACAAAAAGTTTTCTCATTCAGAAAAAGTGGATATGTTGCTAATTTACGGCGAGTCACAAAAAAAATTCACGAAAAGCTGTAGAGTTATATCGAGAAAGGTGTCCAGAGCGCCTCATTCGTGATCATAGAACCTTTACAAGATTGGAGGCGACCTTGCGACGAAATGAAGATGAATTGACCAAAAATGTTAATACAGCTAGACTATTACAGTATTTCTAACAAAATCCACGAAATTCTATACGGTAGGCTGTCGGGAATTGAATTTGGATAAATCATGATGAATCAAAATTCACAATTTGGAGTATTTGCATGTTAATTTTATAGCCCAAATTGTAATAAATGTAGAAACTGTTGATCAGAACCTTTTTCGGCACGTTCTTTGGACGGACGAAAGTCGGTTTGTCAGTAATGGTTTGCCAAACAGGTGCAAGGAACACTATTGGTCCATTGAAAATCCCCACATTGTAAATCCAGTCCAAAACCAAGNTTGTAATAAATGTAGAAACTGTTGATCAGAACCTTTTTCGGCACGTTCTTTGGACGGACGAAAGTCGGTTTGTCAGTAATGGTTTGCCAAACAGGTGCAAGGAACACTATTGGTCCATTGAAAATCCCCACATTGTAAATCCAGTCCAAAACCAAGGCCATTTTGGAGTAAATGTATGTTGCTTCATCATCAGAAAAATACAATGCATTTAATAACTAAATAAAATAATACAAAAAAGAAGATGTATACTAACATACTTAACCTAAATCACCATGAATATAATGCATGGTCACTCAATGATTATTATTAGTTGACACGTTTGCAAATAGGTCCAAAGACTATTGATGGTTATTATAGTAACTGCACATTTTGTATATACAGGGTGATTCACAACTTATCCAAAAAAATTTGAGAATAGATGCGGCATGAGAAATGGAGTCAATATTGTAAAATAAATTTTTGTAATATCCTTATAGTTTCTGAGAAAAAAAATATTGAAGTTATAGCACATTAAACCACTACATAGCTGGACAACTGTAGTCTCTAGCGTCATTCGCAATACGCGTGGAGAGCCATGTGACTACTAATACTGAAATCCGTCGTTGCGGTAGTTTTTACCTGTTATCTGTGGTATTTACATCAGTTTTTTAGTAGTTAGTGTCAAAAATGGCTTGCGTGTATAGCAACTCAGAGTTGATGGATATCGTTTTAATTTATGGTGAAGCAAGACAACATTTGTATTATGGTGAAGTATTTGTGTTATGGTGAAGCAAGACATCATTTGTGTTAGTTCGTAGAAAGTGAGTAAGACGGACCCAAATGTGTTTACACGTGAGTGGATAAAATTTTGAACAATTGCTGTTGCAGCATCGGGTATGTCAAATGATTTTATTATTTAAAAACACAAATTAATTTTATTAATAATTAATAAAGGCAAAAGCATTTGAATTTGCCGATATAAAATAGGTGCGATAAAATTCTATTTACATATTTCTTTCCTTGCGAAAGTTTTTGTCCGTTTTTATCACGCCGCCATACCGGTCGCATTGTGCCAGGTCAGGTTTTACAGTGGACCAGTTTCCAGTGCCGTGCAGAAGTGTATTTTTAAATCAATTTCGAACTGACCTTTTTGATTTTTTCTTTACAAAATTGTATTTGTAAGGGTCCTCTGTACATCCAGAATTTTTTTTTTGGATAAGTTCTGAATCACCCTGTAGGAGAGTATTTGAGAATATTCGTACGAGGAGGTGATAAATAAAAACACTGATCATGCCCGGATGTTGCACGAGGAATATGAAAATATAAATAACTAATCAAATCACAGCTGTCTATAACACCGTGACACAGCTTATGAGGAAAAGAAACTGAGAATTTATCTCTTAGATCCTTTAATGATGTTAGAAAAAAATCTTTTAAGGACATCATCATGAGGAAAACCAACACATGGATAAACATTATCTAATTTTAATGACAAAAATTTTAAGAATTTGCGTTGTACAAGTTCTGTATTGTTAATATGTAGGTACATTGTAATGGGGCTTCCAAATTAGGCACGCATTCTCCAATTTGGAGCGAACAAACGCAATATATAACAATTTAGGACGATATACGTTATAACTTTTAAACGGGAAGTAACAGATAAATTTCTCTAACCAAAGTTGATCAGAAAAAAGAGAGCGTTTTGACAGGAAAAAAATTGGGTATATTTCTGGAAAAAATACAATTGATGACGTCAAATCCCAGAGATAATACTTTCTATTGAAAATATACGAGGTCTGTCCAGGAAATATCCGAACTTTATTTTTTAAACTTTATTATTAATTTTGTACATTATTGGTCTTTGTCTCCCTCAAAGTACTCCCCTTCCCTATTCACACACATTTCCCAGCGATTTTTCCATTTCACGAAGCAGTTCTGGTTAGCTTCATTTGAAATGGCCTTTAAAGTCCATCACGAATTAGATCTATACCTATCTACCGTTCACTATTTTTGTCAATTATGTCGTGCTATCCAAAATTTAGTATTTATTAAGCTATTACTTGTTGCAGCGCGTCAAAGAAACGAATAAAGCAAACCCAGACAGGGAAACACCAGCAGATCCTCTCAGTTTAACCATCAAGCAGGAAGACGATTCGATTACTGAAGACTATCCATCGTTCGAAACAGACGAACGTAGCATAGTTAGTCAAGATGGCCCCAGTACAAATTCTTTTAAACACGGTCAAGATGAGTTCGATGCTATCGGTTACAATGTTGCTTCTAAACTCCGAAAAATGGACAGAAATCAAAGGATCATAGCCGAACGGATAATAGCCGAAACGTTATTTCAAGGCCAAATGGGTATACTGAGTGTTAATACATCTTCCTCTGATTTTGTTCCAACCCTTGTCTGCGATCCTCACGATGTGAAGTCTAATTCCAGTTTGCCTCCATAGAAAAATTGTAGAAGAAAAATTTAAATGCTGTGATAGTTCAGTGGCTTTTGAGTTCAATAATTAGTTATTTTTTATAATTAAAATAGTTTTACTATACACTTTTATTCCTCGTATATGGTTTGTTTATTGCAGTAAAGTGTTGTAAAAATAAAAAAACTATTTTTATATTAGGTAACAACCTTTAACAGTTAGTTAGTTAGTTAGTTAGCTTTTTTTCTACTAAATTGACAGGTGATAAATAAATTTTGACATAAATATTAGTACAAAAGGTAGAAACATGTATAAAATGTATATTATTATAATCAATATACCTAAAATCATGGTAAATGCTTTTTATTTATTTCAAATAAATAGTTTAAACAAAGTTCTCATTTCCTTTGCCGTATAAAAATAGCATTAAAGGGAAAAAATACAAATAGAAACAATGCCAAAAGGAGAGTAAAAGCAATGGCTTCTAAAAAAATCCTCTACAGGAAAATTTCTAAATGTAAAAACAAATGAATAATAAATATTAGCTTGAATTACAATCTACAGTGGCAGCTTTAAAAAATTTATTTTATACTAAACAAAACACTGAACTCTATTTTTTTTTGTTGTGTACGAGGTTCTATGGGTCTGTCTCAAATGGTAAGGAAAATGTGGCTGCTAAAACATGCTGTAGGTGTAATCTCTTTAGATATATTGATCAGATTCTTTAGCCTTAGCTGTGAATCTTTGACCTGCCCTTGTTGTTCTCATGCTAGGTTCTGTTGAGGCGTACCGCTCTCAGACTCATTAAGTCCGTTCTGATGTTTATGTTCTGATTAACGTTAATATGCATTACTTTATATAAGAATATTAAGAAACATAGGCCTCGTCTGTCAGACAGATTAATAAATGAAAATCTATCCAGTCGATCTTCAGTAATGGTGGGTACACGTTGTCAACGATCTTCGATACTTTCAATGCTGTTGAAATATTTACTGTAACCTGGACTCCAAATAACCCATAACAGCTCAGGCACTAGAGCAATAAAAGTAAGCTGTTTGTGTTTGAAGTCATCTATTTTGTTGTACAGAAAAATCCAAAATATTCTGTAGAATATGAATCCGAGGTGGCCTATTTCAAAAAACCATTGCTAAATTCAGGAGAACAACAAATAAACAAAAAGAACGAAAAATTACCCGTTTTTCGAAATATCTTTCCCTGTACCTGTACCATTAACAGTAAGCCCTAAATAAAAAGTCATTTTCAATTTTTTGATTATTTATTTATTTTGCATTAACAATGGGCGTAAAATAGTAGAAAATCATATGTATATTTGGAGCAATTTTTAAAATAAGTAAATATTTATAAATATTGATGAAACTTTGTGAACAAATAGTAAAACGTTCTACCCTAAAAATTTTGCAACGATCGATCGCGTGTTTTTCGATTGACAGGATTGTTAATTAAGAAAATTTCAAAAAGTTTATCGCGTACCATGGCTATCTGCCTATTCATCGTCATTATCATCATCATCAACATCAATTTTATCATGGCTTGTGGAAGGTATTTGAAAATCTTCCTTTCGACTTCATCAAGCTCATCGATGTTCTCATCCAATGATATAAGGAAAAATTAAAAAAAATTCTAAATTGTTATAAAAGTGTAAAAATGGGTATTTTTAGTATTGATCATTGTTGATTATGACAATATATCGTCCCTCTTATCACGTAGGAGAGTATAATCCAAGAAATGGATATACACATACGCCTCTACGTGATAATAGGTACGATATATCTCTAAAAAATTGTGAGCCGTTTCTAAACCTTAATTTAAACCCACGGTACGCGATAAACTTTTTCTTAATTAACAAACCTGTCAATTGAAAACCGATCGATCGATGCAAAATTTTTAGGGTAGAATTGACATATGTTTAGTGATTTGTTCACAAAGTTTCATCAATTAATTATTTATAAATATTTACTTATTTTAAAAATTGCTCCAAATATACATTTTCTACTATTTTTTGCCCATTGTTAATGCAAAATTCAACTTTTTTGATTTGCAGTTGTAACTTTATAGAGAATCATAAAATAAACAAAAAATAAAGAATGACTTCTTTTTATTTAGGGCTTAAAAATATGTCGAAAAACGCGTCATTTTTCGTTCTTTTTGTATGTTTGTTGTTCCCCTGAATTTAGCAATGGTTTTTTGGAATAGGCAAACTCGGATTCTTAATCTACGTAATATTTGGGATTTTTCTGTACAAACAGATTACTTCAAATACAAGCGCCTCGACTATATTGAACCCTACTTTTTACAAAATTCGATATCATGAAAACCCCTGGAAAAATCTAATTAAAGGACGTAAGTTTTTAAAAACAGGCAAACCAATATTCTCAATATGACTGCTGGAAGTTACTTTTGTTCAGTTACAAACTTGAACCAGCGAAAAATAATTTGTTAGTTTTACTTAATTTTTCAATAATAATTGTAATACACATTTTGCTTATTTTCTACGTAGAGTTATAATATTATAAGACACCTAATTTTTTAAACTGATGCGGAAATTAAACCCCAATTATTTAAAATTAAAAAAGCCTCCCGAAAAATATAACGAGGAAAACTTTTCCGATGCTGATAGAGAATAAATGCTTTCCCATTAGGATCTATTTTTTTTAGTTTTGTTTATAAAATCGCAGTAAAAAGTTGTGGTACTATCAATAAAGAGCAGAAATATAAAAAAAATAATTCTAACTGTTCAGTGTTCACACTCTCAAAGTAATATTAAAAATCTGATTTAAAAAAATGCTTTACCAGGTTAGTGTTATTATGGACATCAGGTGCATACTTTCAATATGTTATTTGAAAAAATAAAAAAATATACAGATCTAATTTTTTCTATGAGACAAGCACAAAATCCTGGAAATTTTAATTTTATTTAGTATAAATGTTGTGGTCTTATTACCAAGACAAACAGAAATACGAATATATTTACCTTAACAGTTTTCATTGTTGAAATTATATTAAAAATCAAATCAAACAGTATAAGAAAATTTGGCAAAAAAATCAATGCATAATTCCATTTGTTATTCTTGCACACTTCAATCAAATGCATGACTTTTTTCACTGATTCGTGAATTTTCAGTTAGCTGCCTATAAGAAACAGTAGACAAAATATACAGGGTGAACAAATGAATTCGAATTTTCTCGGTATGACCTGTAATTTTGAAATTCTGTTCATGTCAAAAATAAATTAATTCCCACAGAGTTTAAAAGCTAGGTAGGTATATCAAAATTTTAGATTTAGCCAGATATTCAAAATTCACCATGTGGTATACATCAAATTTTGAGTCAGTGCTGTCTGTACTATCCTAGGTTGTCCCACTTACCATACGTAATCGTTGTAAAACACTCTATATATTTAAGGCAAGTTTCTTTAACACCCTGTGTTGTACACCAGATTGTTACTACTAAATTCGTTAAATGTTTTCTCGTTTAGATCATAAATTATCGTTTACATAAATTTGCAGAATATCTCATAGGAAAAACTACATGGGAGTCGAATCAGGTCTCCTTGCGGAAGATTTTCCTTTTATAACTTAGTTAAACGAATGCCCTTTGTCTAGATTCTAGACTCTAGAACAAGATGGAGTATTTTTTTTCTTAATAGCACTGTTGTGCAACAAAAATATTGTGCATACTACTAATGTAAAGAAGAAGAAATATACAGGGTAGTTCATAAAAATAGGAGTCTTAGATACATTCAACTATTATTAATTGTCCAATACCTATCATGGATTCGTTTCAAATTTAGAAAATTCTGAATCGTTTGGAAGATATTCGAAGAAAACCGATTTTATGCTATTTCTTTTTTAATCGTATTTCACTTGTTTTTCAACAACATCTTGTTCAGTAACAAAATTTTATAGGTATTTTGTATGTAGAAACAACAGATCCAAACTTAATGTTACTTTTAGGTTAGCCTTTCATCAAGAAACCAGGTTGCTGCAGGCAAATTACTTCTCTGACGTGTAGTTTCATAAGGGCATATTAAGTTATCCTTATATAAGTTCTACCTTGTTCACCACGTGTAATGTCCCAAGTCTTGCGCCTGCGTACAATAAATTATTGATTCTGTAATGCAGAAGGATTGCAGAAAAACACTGGCTGATAAAATGAGAACAGTGTTCTCTGTAGGTGTAGTTTTCGTGTGATATAAAAGTTGATAAAAGTGGTATGTTCGCGTCAACCAATCAATTAATCAATAATTGAAATAGGTAGGTACGACTTTATATCGACTAAAATTAGTGTTGTTGAAGATATATTTATTTTTAATTAAGTTTGATGTAATTGTTACTACTGTTCGCTCATTAAATATTAAACTCGTTGCCATGGAATACACGAAAACAAACAAGGGCTTAGGCGCATTTGTTTGAAGTATCTATAATTTAAGCAAAAGCACATACTGTAGTAACAAGTGAAACTACGGCATAGCAACGACTTGAAAGTAGTAAGAATAAAAAAAGTCATGAGGTTCCTTTGGAGAAAGTAAGTATAAGGAAAAGAAACTGGATAATCTAATTTCTTTGATTCGTGTTAGCTATATTTGTTAGCTGAATGAAAAGAAATAGGCCTTTCAATGGTTTTAATATTCTTTTTCCTCTTAGAATAGAATCTGGGATATATACACACTTTTTTAAGTCGCAAGTAAAACGTTTGATCCTAAAAAATATTGCACTTAACCATCTTTCTCTAACTATCCACTGAAGATGCCCCTCTAGCTGTAGGCAAAAATATCTTAGGCATAAATGGAAAGTAATAAATACTGAGTATATTTTTAATGATTTTAGAATCTAGGACACGGTTACTGTACAGTGCGTAGTTATCCAGAATTGCCAGACGGATTTTAAAACTGAATAATCCACGTTGTAAAGATCTCTTACAATTAAGGCATTGAAATCAGTTATTTCGTCTTCCCTTCATATTTGCTCTTACCGCACATTCTTTTTTAGTTTCTTCATTCTTGACAACATAACAAAGTAGTACATTAAACGATGTTCACTTTCTGTTTTCGTATAACTTTTTCTCACTGCAAAATTATGCACTTCATTCATAACTATTTTTTTAACATTATTGTTTCATTGCCAACGTCATTCGCAAAATCGCATTTTGGACTTTAATAGTAGAACTAGTCACTTGACCTGTTGCAATTGAGGATTTATTGTGGTACAGATGCATCAGCTGTTATGCATATTTATGTAGCATTCTTTACAATATTACTTAGTGCATTATTTACAATATTACTTAGACGCGAAGTTTATTTGCAATTTGTTTAGATTTAAAATAACTGTCAAAACTATGGTAAAAATTGCACATCTCTGTTTTGCAGCCAACAAATGATTATTAATGATTATATTATTTTAATCTGTTCTGCAACAATTTCGGAATTTTTTTTTTCTTGGAAAATATCATAGACAATACTGCTAAGGAAATGTTTTGACATTTAGGATGGTATTGTCTGTTTTATATAAGTTTTCATACCAGAGATCAATACTATTTCTATGTACTTAAGTACTTTAAAGTTTTTTGGTATTCTTGGGTATAAATATTGGACTTATTTTCTAATTTGACTTTGTTTACTGAGACGAAAAATTTTAAAACACTTCGAGAACAACAGATCCAAAGAAGACATGGCTATTTTTACAATCTTGATTTCAATAAATCAACTAATGCTTACATTATTCCATATTAGTGATAATATTTCAAACTATCTATTATACAGGGTGTCCCAGTACTTGATACAAAAGGGTCTGGTACAAATAGATGAGGTCAAAATAATATCAGTTCTTCTATAATTTTTTTTCATACAACAACGTTGTATCACATTCCTAAATTTTTCATTGTTGCCCATATTCTTGGAAATTATGGATATGGAAGATGACTGTTTTTTAAATTCTTTATAAATCCAGACTGAAATAAAACTCGTACGAAGCAATAAGTCTTCAAAACTTTAAAATTTATTTTTCTCGAAACTGAAGTTTCTCTTTCTTCCCCTATGGTCTTCAAATGTAATAGAAAAAAAATAAATCATAAAACAATACGCTCCTGTTTTATACCTATCATTATATAATGAAATTATTCATAATTTTACTTAGTATCAAATGATTGCCTGAGGATAATTCGGTAAAGCAAAGCAAAGGCGAACTATTTAGAAGCTTAAAGAAAAATCAGAGTGAACATTGAGGAAATGATCAAGGAAGGAATAAAAATTCTGAAATTATTCTACCGAAGCACTTTTTCGTCTGGAAATATTCTATATAAACTCACCAGTATGGGGGAACGGAGTCAACTGTTTTGGGTGAAATGGTGAATAAGATCTAATTCTCATTTATTTACAGATAGCGCATAGTCCAGAATATAATTAGTACTGACAATCCTAATGTACTAATTATCCCCAAATACCTTGTAATCCCCCAGATATTTTGAGTTTACACTTCTTATACACAGCAGTCTCAAATTAGCTAAAATATTATATCCTTAAGTGCTATAGGTAGAGTTGCTCTTCTTTACTTAATGCGAACTATGGTATAAAAATGAATTTTCATCATTTGCTGACTTTTTCATTAAAAAGGAACAAAGGCTATCTGTAATTATATCTTCTATTTACAATGAATTAGATAACTTTATTTTTTCTTAGGAGACTAATGGGTAATCTACAAGATTTCACACAGGCCTTGACCCACTGGTCGTTTGGCGTCGCTATACTGGTTGGTCTAGTGTCATCTGAATTTTCTGGCGCCGAAACCGTAGCAGCTATATTAGTTGCAGGATTTTCATCGACGTTATCAGGTAAGTGGTATGTTTCTGCACCGTATTATCAGTTTTTATAGTGACATAATCTGTATTAAATTATTTTAAATTTTTTTAAATCGTTACTTAGAATGTTAAAGTTACTGCTAAAGTGGACCTCCACAATGTTGAAAAGATTTTTTAGTGTCAAGTTTCCAACTTTGGTATTTAAAATTCTTAATGTAAGGGGACTACTTTTGTTTTAGCACTTTGCAGCTCGGTCTCTAATGGAACGGATGAACAATACAGGAGAAAGAAATTTTCCAATACTCTATACTTTCTTATCTTATGGTTAGATATATTAACAAACTTAGTAGCTGCTGCAACTTGCGCTAGGTTAGCAAGTGCTACCGTCGATTACATAAGTAAAGGCCACTTCAAGGAGTTCTTGTTCGGGTTAGAACAGCACTCTCTGGTCGAACCTTGGCCTGACGTTTTAGGAGTTACTATCATTGTGGTCGTCACTATTTTATTTATGATGGGCCTAGAGGTTTGTATTTACTTGCTTCATATTTTACTTAACGAGGTGTGTGACCATTCTTTTTAAAATTTTATTTTTATATTATCAAACTAATACTTATATTTTATATAAAATTAAGGCGAAGTGAACAAAACAAACAATATATAATTACATGAAGAATGGGATGATTAAATTTACACTGTCTATTATTATCATCATATAAAAATCCATAATGCTGAGCTCTACATGTAATAGTACGTTGGACACAATTATTTTTTTTTACGCTAATTTTCCCATAAGTTAACTATTATTGATACTCCTTTCGTTCCGTTTATAGCGTAAATTTCTTTCAGAGATCCTCAACCATTTCAATGCTATTATTCGTGGCATTATTGTGCAATTTCGCCTTTTTTACTACAATAGGAAGTTTCCATACTATAACGAAGTTTTGGAAATGGTGCGAAGGTTTTAAGATCCATTCATACAGAGAGGTACGAGTAAATATTAAAAGTAATCAATTCCGATGTTCTAAATCTATTTCTAGGTTCTAAGAGCTGCTGCAATATGTTCATTTGCATTTGTACATAATATTCCAAAAACGGAGAAGAATCATTGCCTAAAGATGTTTACCATGGTTTTTAATTCTTTGGTCTTTTATACAGTCACAGCTATAATATTTTCATTAATGACGCACTATAGGTAAGTCTTTTTTTTAGTTATGTCCATATTGGAGTACGTGTAAAAGCTTCTTAGATTTCATAACCAAACTCCGATCCAGATCTGTAAAAATTAGCATATATTCGTATTTTCGTATAAACCGTCGTAGTTCAACGTTGGAGGTCTAAATCAATTTTTCATGCTAATACCGTTGGCCTTTCGCACATCATTAAACTTGCCCTGTCTTTCGGTGCTATAAAATATGCAGCATTTCCAGTAAAAAGAATTATAAACGACTCTGTCGATTTAGAACGTGACTTAGGAAATAGTAAATGTTTATTAAAAAGTTTCTTATAAAATTAAGGTACAGTACATGTAAAGTTAACAAACCAAATAAAGTTAACAAAGGGATGTAGTAAATCATTAGGAAACGTGTATTATGTAATTTTTCCTGGAAATTTAATACACTTTCTTTCTTTTGTTTATAAACAATGTCTATACAAAGTGTTCACTTTTTTATCTTGGCAACTTTCAGAATCGATAAAACTGTGAAGAATAATGTGGGTATGTTTAAACTTTCAACTCTCGTTTTTTGAACGTAACACCTCTAAATAACATAGGATGGATTATATTACACATTCCCTTTCGGGGCAGTGTTACCATCTTCAGCATATCCTGAGATAGCTGAATTTGAAATATCTTCACTGTGATCTCGAAAATGAAAAAATAACCCTACCACGTCTCCCAATATAAAATTTCTCGCTCTTTCAAAATCCGAGGTCAGTAATTGTATTACTGTAAAAAAAAACAAGAGTTGACCTTCAAAATACCTTGAATATGTTCTTAAAAAATAAATCAATCACGTATCCGAGTATTCAAAACAAAATTAATGTATTTTATTAAAATTGTGTATCCAATGTTTAAGCATGTAATATTCGTGACACTTATGTTTTATTTTACAGAGAATTGATGGGGACAGCTATCCCACTTGTGCAAGTTTTCGAAAACAGAGATGTTGATTGGGCTAGGCCTCTTATAGCGGCATTCACAATCTGTGTTGTTTGCTTAGTTCTGACAGATGTGTTACCAGCTGTATTTTGTTCATTTGTGAAACTATCGAACAAAGAATGGCGTGTTTTTGTGCCATCGATTCAGTATCAAAGTCCCTTGACCGGAGCTCCAATTTTAGCTATATTTGCAGCAGGTATTTATCATAAGTTTAGTTCCTGTAGTCTGCAAACTATGAGAGATATAAATAAATAATTGGATGAAATTAACCCCTTCCGTACTATATTAGAAACTACACTTTCATCTGAATTTTTCTTCCTAATAAAAATATGCATGTTTCAAATTTATCCAGAGCAGAGAGTGGTCCGAATTGTAGAAGCCAAATTCCTGGTGACAGAACTCGTCACAATAAGAAAAAAAGTTTCTGCAAACATGAATGGGGAAACCCAATTTCGGGGTACACGCTAAAGTTAAAGTTTTTACGATAGTGTTTACATTAGTTTTTCAAGTGTCAAAAGTTGATGGATATCGTTTTATTAGCATTAAGATCTTTAAAACAGGGGGTGTTTTATATAGACATGCCAAGTCTGCAGATTTTTAATATCAGTTCAGTTAGGCTGGATCAAAGAAAGACTATAGAAAAATGAATCTGGTCTGCTACAGGCCAGGCTTCTCATAGAGGCCCCGTGAGCTGAAGTAAATAGGAAAATTAATTTGCTTAGTAGAATTAAGACTGTTAAAGGACCTCTAATGGGAAATGGATATCTAAGCAAGCACTCAATGGAATCGTCATCTGTCATTGTATTTGCTTAATGGTAAAAAGACCTGGGGGCAGCATTTCTGTCGTCTCTGAAGATTCCTCCAGAGCTAGAGCTTGCCTTCGAACGGAGCACGGGCCTGTTTTAAAATAACTCTTATTAGCGGCATGCACAGTGGGTCGTAAGACCTGAATGGTGCGGAAAATTTCTCCGCTTCCAATTTTACTACCAACTGAAATATATAAAAATTTAAACAAGCTTACCTTTTTATTGTCAATTTAAAAACATAGTTTTGCTGATCCTGTCCAGTTTCATTTAAATATATTTTTGTGTATCGAATAATGGCGGAACCTTTATACTTTTTCTCTTCAATTACCTGAGTAGGAACATATTTTTCCGATTTTGTGAATGTTGGGAATAATTTAAAGTAAGACACTTTAGTCTTGCAAATATTACTTGCTCATTCAACTTTTGTGGACTAAATTCACATTAAATTGATGTTTTTATTGAATTTAATAATTCATTTCAGAAAACAAGTTTAAAAGACTTTCCTGCGTGCAGTTAAAGGAATTCGCTTACTGAAACACAATTTGATAAAGTTTCGAATAATCTGTATTCCTTTGTGTTCTCTTGGAATTTATGAGTTAATGCCATGTTTAATTAAATCGTTTGTGTGCGTTCTTTAAAAATGTTTTGCCTGCTAATAGACAGACGTTGTTTACAAGAATAAAATGCAATAAAGTGGAATACATATAAGCGTTCGTAGTTGCACTAATCTTATGCACGGGAGAAACTTTGTTATCAATATTCATATAAGTAATTGTAGCACAAATAGAAACAGGTCGTGTCAAATTTTCGTATATATTGTTTAGAAATATGAAAATTCCACATTTACATGTATAGACTTTGCTACATTTTCAAATAATATTATCTGAACGTTTGACACAACTTATAATTCTGTTTATGCTACTGATCTAAAGTAACATATTTTTGAAGTACATTATGAAGCTTCTTTGCACTCTTACATTTGTGACACTTCGCTCTTCGATTTTGTCCAAAATCGGAGATTCCACATGATGAAATGCTACAGGTAGATAGGCAATTATCCGAACCTAGCTCTAATTGGATTTTTTTGTGGGTTTTTGTTTGAGCTACGAGACCTGAATCCTGTACCACGAATTTCTTTCCTTTTAAATGTTGCAGTTTTGTACAAACCTCGCTTATATTTTTCTTGCTTAATTTTATTAGAAGCGGACTTTCTACTGATTTCTTGGTGGTCATTGGTTTGGTGGCTGATCACTGGCTGACTTTCTCGGAGCGACTCTTTATCGTTGTCAAACTAAAATGATTCACTGGCGTAGTTGGAGTTTTCATGAATTTAAACACGGAATATGTGTCGAGGTAAACTAAATCAAAAATGTAAATGATTTTCGACTATGAACCGTATACTCCGGATGCGAATTGAATGGAATGACACTAAAAATTGACGTGCACATTCTGGCAACGTATGGGTTGACTTATTTGCAGTTTGTTTTATTAAAATGTAAAGTATTTTGATTACTACAACAAAGCAACAGGTCAGAACGAGGTTAAACAAGCACAAGTGTCATTTGTGGAAAAATCAGCAACTACTGAACGCAGGTCACAGGCCTAACCACATAATACCAGAATGGAGATAATTTCAATGGATACTAACGAGCGTTCAAATAAAAACGTGGTCAAGTTGGTTCTGAAAATTTGGACGTAGGGCGTAGCGTATAGCAAATGAACTTAAACGTCATCTGTCAAAGCGCTATATCGCCGCTATCAATTTGATTATTTTCGTTTTAAAAAGCGTTTAAAATGGTGTTTTCTCAAGAACAAAAAGTGTTTATCATAGAGTCCTACTTTAGAAATGGACGCAAGATTGATGGAATATGGAAGTATTCTATTGAGGAATGTTTCATAGAATTTCAAAATCAATTTCCCGGCGTTGTTGAGTACAAAATTTTTCAAAGTGCAGTTCAGCGTTGTGTTAATGTTTTTCGTGAAACGGGCAGTGTAACAAGAAAAGAAGGAAGCGGCCGACCTAAAAAGCGGACTGAAGAATTAAAAGAAAATGTCCAACAAATAATGGAAAATGCGCCAAGAACTTCTGTACGTGTTTTATCACAAATGGTGGGAGTATCAGTCGGTACCTGCCACACAGTGTTAAAAAAAGATTTGCGTTTGTTCTCCTATCGTTTAACTTGTCAGCAAGAACTTCATGAAGTTGATTTTCCGCGACGGGCTGTATTTTGTGAATGGTTTTTAAACAACTACGGTGAACTTCATAATATCACCTTTTTTTCTGATGAAGCCTGGTTTCATTTAAGTGGTTACGTAAACTCACAGAATATGAGAATGTGGTCTTCTGAAAAACCAGATAACTTTTTTGTCGAGGGCCCTCTACACGCTCAAAAAATTGGAGTTTGGTGTGCTCTCAATCGAAGGAGGATTTATGGACCTATTTTTTTTAATGGTACTCTTACTGCGCAAAGGTATAGAGAAGAAATTATCGCTCCTTTTGTTAACCAGCTGGAAGAAAACGAAATTACAAACTTTTACTTTCAACAAGATGGCGCAAGGGCACATACGGCAGGCGAGACGATGAATATGTTGAGGGAAGTTTTCCAAAATCGACTAATAAGTCTCAATGCTGAACATGAATTTCCACCGAGGTCATGTGATATTACGCCGTGTGATTTCTTTTTGTGGCCTTACCTTAAAAACACTATTTTTGAACTGCCTATTCCTGATTTAAACCATCTGCAGGCTCGACTTATAGACAAGATTCGTGAAATTAACAATACCCCGAGCATCTTAGAAAATGTCTTTAATTCTTTGAGGAACAGGTGTGAAAAGTGCTTGGAACAAGGAGGGGGACACTTTCAGCAGCTGCTTTAATTTATTGTTATAACAAGGAGGGGGACACTTTCCGCAGCTCCTTTAATTGTTTGTTATTGTTATCACGATTATTCTTTAAAATAAAGTTATATAGTCATTAACGTTATTGAAACTGACAGCTGCTATACAGCTCGTTGAGAAATGAGGTTAAGTTGGTCGCTATTAGCTACTCCCTACGTCCAATGTGTCAGAGCCAACTTCGACCACGTTTTTATTTGAACGCTCGTTATATGGAATTTATTAAGGACTCAGTCGCAAAAAACAAGAACCAAAACGACATGAACCAATTACTAATGACATAACATAAATACCAGCCAGAGGACTTAATTTCCGATTTCAGACTTTCTTCTTCTGAAGAAAACGATATATCCCTGGTCACTCTAAGCCAACACGGCAACCACCAAGAAATCGTTCATCCGCAGCTGCAATTACTTCAATTCGTCTTTCTGCGGTTTTCACTTTAGTTTTGTGAGTATTAAACTTTATGTATCCTCCAAAAGGAAGTCTAAGGGGTTATTAGGAGTTTTATTTAACAACGGGCTTTCAATAAATTGTCATAGAAACACCTGTGCCATTATTTTTAATATGTAATAGAACCATCGCTTACAATTTTTGGTAATAGTTTGTAGATACAGGCAACTGAGTATACATACTTTTGATTCACAATAATTTCCTGTATTCCTTATGTTCGGTGTGTACTATTTAATAAATGTAAATATAAGCAACAAAATAAAATATTAAATTAATTGATCTTTGTTTTATATACACAAGAAATCAGATTCCAATTTTCAAATAAACGACGCCCAATAAATATCTTTCTAATTTTACCTTTAAATATAGGAAAAATGTTTTACCTAATAATGTAAAAAGCTCTAAATTACATTTTAATTTTACTAATGTGGTGATGACGCACTGTACATTATCACCCCGTGTTTAGTCTTGCCTTATACTAACGGATACGTACAGGAGATTAAAACACTTTGCATTGTAAGTATCTAAATTAGTTTATTTAATTTTTAGGGAGCCTAGCAGCTATTCTAGCATTCGCGTGCCCTTTGTCTCACTTAATTAAACTGTTGAATACATCTTCACTGGTGAAATGCGTCACAATTTCCTGCCAGCTCATGTTCAATAGATATAAATCTGAAATAAACTATGATTGTTTGGGTAAGTTTACCAATCTTACAGACTGACACAAACAAGTCTGCATCTGAGATAGCTTGACCCAAGAAGGTGAACGGTAAGGGGACGCTTTATCTACGTCTTCATCCTTTAAGTCGAATGTGTTCTTTCCCATTCTCGCACAGCTCTGCTTAAGTCGGACTTGCTTGTATCGGTCTGCATTTACTTTATTATTACTTATTTTTTTTTTGTTTATTATTCATAATTAATATTTATGAATCTTATCTACTTACCAATCTAATCTATATGCAATATACAGGGTGTTAATGAACTTATGTCATATATTTAAAGGGGTGAAAAAGGAGCAAAAACTGAGTTAACTGATGTCACAAACTTGTATCGGAAGTTTAAGGTCATAGAGAAAAAAACTAATTAAGAATGTGTTTAAAGCTGTTTTGGGACTGCTGAAATACATGTATTTAATCGCGGCGAGTAGTTACAAAAAATTCTGTAACACTTTTCACGAGTTTGTAGGTTTGTTATGAAGCGGGACTGTATTTGAAAGTCAGTTTGTAATACATTGTTGTAGTGATTGCTGTGCTATATTTCGAGAGTAAATTTAATAGCCGTATTTCTAAGCTAGTTAGATTTGAGGGGATATGTGAAAAATGTTGTGTATTCCACGGATGTTTGTGACATCAAGCTTGTAATATGATTCGAGAGGACGTGGCAATGTGACAATTCGTGCGAGCGAATTGGATATGTCGCGCTGAAGCTTGTGTCCAAGCAAATGGTGGGTACATCAAACACCTTCTATGAAAATCAGCAGTTCTGAAAAGGTGGCTCCTTGCAATGTTGAGGTAAGTCCGATTTTAAAGTTACATTTTACTCAACAAAAAACCGTGTATTTACCTCATTTTGACATAACGGACATGTGGCAAAAATTATTTGAGATAAGTTCATTACACCCTGATTTGATCATTATGAATATTAAATTGTATGTATATATTTTAAAAATACAAACGTAGGGTTTGTTCATTTTGCATAATTGAAGAGTTGAATATATTTTTATTTAATTTTCACCGAGTATGTCATCAAAAATTTCTTAAAAACAAATCGATTAGTTTTTTTAAAGGAAAAACATGGTTCTACAAGGTGTTTCAGGATTAAGTCGACAAACTTTAAGGAGATATTCCTCATAAAAAAAAATAAGAAAAAATCAAGTATAATTTTTTTCCAGACGCTTCATCTTCGAAATATAGGGCGTTAAATATGTTTTTAAAAATTCGAATTTTTTAAATAACTTCTAAATGAAGAAGGCTATTTAAGCCAAATTTGGCATGACACATCTTCTTATAAGATACCATTTTTCATAGAAGTAGAAGTCCCGCAAGGGGTGTATTTTCCTTCCAAAATAAATTTAGATTTGAGGAAGATTTATCAAAATGTATAACATCAAGAATTTCCTATACAATTTTTAGTTCCATCAAGTCAAAGTAAAGCACAATTCTTAAATTGTGGTTAATTATATGCACTAAAGACATTTAAATTATATTCGCCATAAAAGGTGATTTTTTTTTTTCAGTATACAATACGAATATACATTATAGCAAGCTGAATAATAATTCTGTGAAGTCAACGATTCAAAACAAATCGCAGTATATTAAAGAAAAAATTAAGTCACTATTTTCTTCCAAGCCATACTACATACATCGATTAAGTTCTCCAAAAAATGTTGGTCGTAAACTGGGCAACGTCCCTCAGAATAAAGTGGGTAAGTTATATTTTTATGTTATATTGAAAAAATCACTGCGGGCGTTTTCTAACGAAGTGTAATTTTTCCGTTACTTAGTGATTTTTCCAAATATAAAATGTGTTTTAGTATTTGTGATAGTATCCAATTGGCGAATTACGGCCATTGTCACAGGCCAGATAATGGCCATTTTGATTCGCTGGTTGAATAGAATACTACTCGTACATGTATCTTTTAATATTGCTGTTACATATTTTTAGAGGAACGAGAATGTCTATTGCTAGACGATTACAGTAACAAGTCATTAAATATCGACTTAGCAGAAGACAGTGCTTCAGAAAATGATGAGAACGATATAGTATTCTGCAGCGATGGAGAAGACTCCGGTAGCTCAACTGATATAGACCTAATTGTTGAGGAATATCGAGAGGGCCTGAAGGTATGTATAGACGTTATACAAATGAACACTTACATATATAGATAGGCATTGTTCAAATCATATTGATAATTTATATAATGGGGTAAGATTTTAAGAAAAACTGCGTTAATGTTAACTACTGAAGATATATGGCACAAACACATTGAAACAAAACCATGATATCGAACTAATCTCATGTCAAAATTACCTGTATATTATGCAAATTTAATTTATTATTTGACGTATGTGATGTTCAATTTACAGCGTCTGCTAAAGATTGACTGACTTATAACAATATACTTCTTTTTATATTCATTTGACAATATTTTTGTAGTGGACGAGGCATATCCACAAAGTAAGAGTACTGAGATTTTGATGCTCTGTTGTTTTTGTTTTCGACAAAGTTGGCAACATTGTAATCAAGGCCAAGGTGTTGGAAGCAGAACGCGTCTCATTCAGTGCAGAACTGTTGTTGTAGCGTATCCAGTTTTTAAAAATTGAGCAATCTTACTTTGTGAATATGCCTCGTATGTTTCTTTTTGTTTTTTTTTTCAAGAGAATTATACTTCTAACAGTACAGGTTCTTATATCTAGGGTCTTCCCCAGTTACAGGATAAAGATAATTCTTTAATTGTCTTAAAATTATCTTAAAAAATATATACTTACACGAAAAAAATCATTAAACGACCCTACTTTTTAAGGAAGTAACATTGTACTAAGATAACAATCTAAATTCATTTATTTTCACCCAACCAGATATGTATTATTACTTAATAAACATCCTATATGTTTCTATTGCTCAGTTTTTTAATTAGTATTTTACACAATCCGAAGGGTTAAAAAATATTCCGCAGTAAATGATATAACATGTAGTAAGGTAAAAACAGTATTTATTTATTTTTTATAACGCATTAAAATATTTAAACTTTTACCACATCTAGGGAGTTCGTATATCGACAATTAAAGATTTTTATTCTTCACTTGATAGCTTGTTTATTACTAGGAAACGGAATAGGAAAACAACGTCACCTAAATTTTCTTTGCCGTCGATTAAATGTTGTTAATTTTCTCTCACAATCAATTCAGAAAAATTGTCATCACTAGTTCTTTCGACCCCTGCTATTAAACGAGATATTTTGTCCTTGGACGTTATCTTCTACATATCCTGATGCTACAGTATCACTCTTCCATTTTCCATGTTTTTTCAATGTTATCGTATCTGCACCTGCATCTACGAGAAGAATTGCCGATGTACGACGCAAACAATTACCTGTGTACATTTTAGAATCTACGTAGCCGAAATATTTTGCAATCCTGGACGGTATGCTACCGAAGGTATTTTTGTCGACCATTTCGATATGTCAGAAAAAAACGCCGTTCTTTAATTTCTTTTGATGGCAAAGATGTATACTGTCGATACAACTGGAGAGCGTGCATTTCATTTTCTTTCACAATAGTAAAAGATTCTCCAGTTTTTGTATCGTTAATTTTTACTATAACAACGATTCCTTTGTCATCTGTATCATCAGTCCAGAGCTTTACCAACTCATCTCTTCTTAATTCTCCAAAAACACCCATTACTAGAACAACCTACAATAACACAAACCTCTTAAGCACATGCAATAATGTAGCTAATTATTTCCTATATTACCTTTTCCATAAGATATGTATGACTTTATGCTTCTATAATAAATTTCAAAACATCTTCTCTTGTTAATATCTTAGATATTTTTTATATTTGCTTCAAATAAGCCTCTAATCCATGATATATAGTTTCACTAACAGCTGTCACTGAATTTCTGCTTGTCCAAATCTCAAAACGTTTATATTTATCATAAAGCAATTTAGATTTCTTAGGCAGTAATTCTTCATTGGCTTTATTGGCTCTTATCAGCAACTACTACTGGAATATTAACCATTCTGCCTTTTGAATATGCCTCCTCAGAATCAACCATCAAACATCTTGAATACATCGTTTATACATATATTGAAAAACTGTTTTTATGCTCATTTACATTTAACTATTAATATAAATAAATATAAAATAAGATATATAAGTAAAAAATAAAACGTATGCACCACGGGAGATACTAGGATGATCATGATAATCATCCCTGTATCTCCCTTGGTACATAAATAACCATTAGAGTCATTTCATTGTCATCTCTTATTGAAGTATCAGTCAAATTCAACTTTTTGTGTTGTGTTATTATCAAACTGTAGATCGACGTATATTTTTTTCAGGTAGCCGCCGTAGGGAAATTTAACGAAAGGAGGCCAGCTACGAAACTTACATCAATAATTGTTGTTATGTGTTTAATAATAGTTATATTTTCCTCTATAAGCCTATCGCTCTACATGTTAAATGTTATGAATGTACTGTGGCCTAGTATTGCAGGTAAGATAAAGAGTTATCGAAATTAAAAAAGATTACACAGTTTTTTCTCTAACAATGCAGAGGACAATATTTATTGTTTTGTTGAAATTATGACAGTTACCCCTTAAAACTACTCCTTACGCTTCATATGGGATTTTAATAATTTTGTGTATTATAAATTATTACCCTGACACCCTAAGTTTAAAATATGTGTAAGATATCTCGAAGCACTTTTAAGATATCGTAATAAACAAAAACATTGTATCTTTCAAGGGACATGTTTTATTTATTATACAGTTTTGGAAAAAGCTTTGTATCAAAAGACGCCCTTACTTTTTATATACTATTCACTCTAAAGTATTGGTATAAATTTTTTTATAAATCTTCATCATTCATAATAAACTGTTCTCAATCTTCTAGTGTCCAGCTATCGACCATAGTTTCATAATTTTAACCAACACATAAAACGATTTGTATGGCGTTCTTATATTGGATAACTGTTCCAGTTTTACATTTAAAATGAATATATGTCAAAACAATAAAAAATATTTAATAAAATATACTAATAATTATTATTTTTAGGACTCATCTTGCCATTTATTGTTACAACAGCAATGCCTCAAAATACTATCGACAAATCAAAGCCAACTACTGTTCCGTCCATACTGTTTCCATTTTGCCACATAACTTCTATTGTTCTTAACATAGTTTTGCTTTCAACGATAATAATGGATATCTGGGAGGGCCTGGTGTTTTGGTCAATAGCCGGTAATAATATTTCCTTTATTATATTTAATTATGTTCTGCATTATTTCCTTGTACTTACTTTAAATAAAAATGATACATGACGATTTCAATTTGAAGATAATAAATATCATAGATTTTTCAAATGTTATAAATATAAACATGACCTAATACACAAATTGCAGCTAATCAATGTCGAGCATGCATTTCAATCGACTCATTTCATTACACAATGTGAGGATATGAGGATTAAATCATCTAGTTTGTAATTCTTATATGAGGAAAAAAGAAGAAAGGTCGGATAAGTAGATATTTCTAGTGATCATGTCAAAATTTTCTTATATACACCTTCAATATTTTGAAACAACAAGTAATACCTTCTATAACAGATTAATTGCCAACTGGTGTTATAGTAAAATTATGTATACTACCCTTTGTTGCTTTAGCTATAACTTAATAATATTACAACTATATACATGTTCCTTAAGCAAACTAAAAGCTTCTGGGTGGTTTATGGTAGTCTAGTGTATTGACTGGACATCATTTCTAAATAAGCTATAGCAGATAGTAATGTGAATCAAAATGTCTGGGCAAGAGAAATGAAGGATAGACGTACGATATATTTATTACCATAATACACAATTTACTATCAAACTTCTTAATCTTCACCGAAATGACAAAATCTGAACAAAAATTCTATTCCTGGTCACGAAAGAGCACTCTTCTCTTTTGTATAGTTTTGTGTTTTAATTCTAAGACTCGGAAAACGTCTATGTTTCTTTAACATACGTGCTTTTCCATTCATTGTACCTACCATCTATTTTCTGATGATGAAAAATAATATACCATTTTGAATTTTGTAATCCCGGTGTCAGATGCCTAATCAGCGACCCCGAAAATCTGAAGAAACAGTAAGAATTTTGATATTTGTAATTCTCTCTTTTTGAGATTTCATCTGATGCTACTCAATTTTCGAATATAGACGAATGCACCAAACGTGATGCAAAATAACCTTAAATATAGCGAAAAACAGTATTTTTCGCACTTTTGAGTTGGAGTATCTCTCAAACCTAATGTGATGAGTAATTCTAAGGATTCGGATTCAAAGAAAAGAAAGAAAAATTCAATGAGTCACCTTTTGTGTTTAACTTACCGTTTTCGAGATAATCAGTTGTTCTTGAAAAAAATAACGATTTCAGCTCTCTAAATCAGGCAAGATAGCGTCTAAACCATAAGAGTTAAAAACCTGCAGTTTTCACAGTTCGTTTTGGCATAAATTACTCTATATTGTCATCTGTGCACAAAACGTGTACCTTATTGAGACTCGGAAATACTGAAACCTACATTTATTAATATTACGAGTTGAAAAACTTTTTTTTCAAATGGAATGACCCATATTAATTATGATGGGTGAATGATGGGTGAATGCAAAATTGAATGCCCTTTCGACTGATATAAGGTTGTCCATACTTATCTCTACTAGTTTTCCAGAAAAATCAGGTTCTTTTCAAGTCCAAAAAAGTAGCTATGTAACAGCGTCAAGAAGGCCTTGCAATTGTATTAGTACAACGTCGATACATAGGATTTTACAAAAGCACAGCACAGCACATCCTTATCGCATCCAGTTACAACAAGAGTTACTAAAAGTAGACTTTCAGCGGAGACTGAAGTTTTGTCAGTGAGCACTTGAGATGTTAAATCAAGACGATGATTTTTTTAAACGGGTCGTGTTCTCCAATGGTTTCAAAAATGGTTTCGTTAATAGTCATAATTGCCATTATTATGCCACAGTAAATCCTCACCAATTCCTGACAACTCATAGACAACGATGGTCTTTGAACGTGTGGGGAGTAATTTTGGGAACCCGTGATTGGACCATTCTTTTTTGACTAGCATCTAACTTGAGCAGTTTCTTTAAACTTTTTAAAAATCCCTAGAAGATTTGTCAGAAGAATGTGAATGCAACCACTCACAATACCCTTAAGTATGTCAGTTTTTGGACGAAACTTTTCTCAACAGATGGATTGGGCACGGGGGGCCAGTGACTTGGTCTTCAAGGTGTTCAAATATCACAAGTTACGACTTCTTTTTATGAGGATTTATAAAAAGCAAAGCTGACCAATGTTGAACAATCTTTTAAAAACCGAATACTTTTGTGTATTAATCAAAATGGAGGACAGTTCGAGCAATTGATGTAAATCAGCGGTCTAAGTATTCGTCTCCTTGTTGTGTTCCGAGTTTTAGTTTGTATCGTTTTGAATTGTTTTAGTTGTGTTAGTGGTTTACTTTTGTTTGTCAAACCACTTTTTAAGCATGCCAGTAAATATTGACACTGTCAGTCCCAGGCCTGATAAAATGTGAGGTATAAAGCAAGGTTTTCCTGACGCTGTTACATAGCTACTGTTTCGGACTTTAGAAAAGATCCTGATTTTTCTGGAAAACTGTTGAAGAGTTACAGAAGAATCCCTCTTAGGTGGAACACCCTGTATAACCCTAGACATTTAAACTGCTTTTAGTTTGTAGCCGTTTCAGGAAATAATAGAAAACCCTCAATCATATCGAATCTTACCCAATCTATTAATTTTTTGTTGTGAATGTTATGTATTACAGGTCTACTCCTATTCTGGCGTTGCGATTGCTGTACGTGCGAAGGGCTCTTCAAAAACAATAAGGTTAACATCACTTCACCCGACGACCCAGCTTGCGACCAAAAAAACAACTTCAGGGATACCGTTTACATAACTAGATGACACAACGAGTATTTGGATGAAGATAATCTAATATCGGACTCCGAGGAAGACATTTAACAGCGACGACGATGGTGCAATGACATAACTTACTGTCTTAACAAAAGAAACAAATCAAATGTGATGGATCGTGCTAGATTTTATTTAAATTATAACTATCCTGAAATTTAAAGATGTAATTGTTTTATAAACAAATATATTTCGCTTTATTTTTTATGGTCAGTTGTTATTTACACCCCTTACATCACGTAAATATGAAGTTTATGAAGTTATGTCCATTGCTAAGTAACATAATAGTCGCAAAATATACATTTTAGAAAAAATGCTCGTAGAGCAATAAAAAAAGCAAATTTAAGCATGAATTTAAGCAAATTTAATGTATTCTAGTCATTTGCACAAAACTTTTTTTATTTTGGAGGTGTGTAATTAATTACAAGGTTTTGAAAACTTTCAATGTGTCTTCTATAGGATTTTTTTATCGTTTTCTTGATAAATTTTTTTCGATGCAAAAAAATTTGACTGAAAAATTAATTTTTTCTTTTCGGATATTTTCAATTTAAAAAATATATAAAAGATGCAAAATGGCAAATTGCAATCATTCGGATCACAATCAAAGAAAAATCGCAACGGTTTGATTGAGCTCTTGAGAGTTTCTTTGAGGTTAAGGTCAAAAACATGAAAATATCATTAGTTTCTTAATTACTTGTAAAGTTATCTCAAGTTTAGCGAAAATTCGTAAATATGCAATTTTTTATCTTTTTTTAACCAAATTTCTTGCATCGTAAACATTTTTTAACGAAAAATTATAAGAATGTCTTACAGAGGATACTTTAAGGTTTTCAAAACCTTCCTTAGATTTTCTGTTCGTTCCAGAGTAATTAATTCACAGCCACACACACAAAAAAAGCTGGGTATACTTTTTATGCGACATATATTTTTCGTAGTAATTTGGCCTCCTGAACACGAATCTGGGGTCAGAATTGGCCCATCACGTCACAATTTTTTCCTAACCTCAAAAAACTTGTGAAAAAATCTACTGTCAGAATTGAGCTAGAACGTGTGTTTTTTTTTCTAACCTCAAAAAACCGAGCAGGAATCGCTATTTTCAAATTCTGAGCGGATTTTGACCAGATTTTGTATAAAGGGGTTTTTTGGGTCGCTGATTACGAATATGAATTCACATTGTAAAAATTCAAGATGGCTGATCCAATATGGCGGGTGTACTTTTTTGAAATCCACCGATTTCAGTAAAATTTGGCATCATAAGGATTGCTGGTTGATCTCACCTTCATTAATCACACATCTGGAGCCAGATTTTCATAAATCAAGGTAAAATTTGTAGGCAGAGTCATAATTTTAGGCCGAGTAGGCGGCATTTTTTCGGCAAAGTCACATTTTTAGATTGAAGGCATAAGCAGATGCAGTGATGTGCTGTGTGGCAGTAATGTGTCCTTTTCCTTGAACTTTAAAATTATTAAGAAATAAAAGCATCTAAATGCCATAGGAAAACTGCATAGTAGTTAAAAAAATCTGATTGGAAAACCATAAGCCCATGCACGACTAAATAAATGAAAGAATAAAGTAGAAACTTTTTTGTCTTGTCCCATGGAAACAAGCACATCACACTACACATCATTACATGTGTAGAGTCCTTAAGTCATTTTTTTAAGCGAAGTCACATTTTTAGACGGAGTGGAATCTTTTACCTTGATTTATGAAAATCTGGCTCCAGATGTGTGATTAATGAAGGTGAGATCAACCAGCAATCCTTATGATGCCAAATTTTACTGAAATCGGTGGATTTCAAAAAAGTACACCCGCCATATTGGATCAGCCATCTTGAATTTTTACAATGTGAATTCATATTCGTAATCAGCGACCCAAAAAACCCCTTTATACAAAATCTGGTCAAAATCCGCTCAGAATTTGAAAATAGCGATTCCTGCTCGGTTTTTTGAGGTTAGAAAAAAAACCACACGTTCTAGCTCAATTCTGACAGTGGATTTGAATTCAGCAGAGTCTTTTACATAAAAATGTACTATTTGATGTGGAAATAAATTTTTTTCCAAATTTTCCCAGTAAATTTTCATCAATTTTCACTATTTTTCACAAGTTTTTTGAGGTTAGGAAAAAATTGTGAAGTGATGGGTCAATTCTAACTCCAGATTCGTGTTCAGGAGGCCAAATTACTACGAAAAATATATGTCGCATAAAAAGTATACCCAACTTTTTTTTTGTGTGTGGCTGTGATTATCGAAACCAAAAAGGTCATTTTTCTTTAAATGACGATAACTCAGCTACAGAACAGTTCGAATTAAAGAAAATTAATCAAACTAAAAGAGGTGGGATTGCCAAAAAATATATACTGAAGTCCGTGGACCTTTTGAAAGGGAACCACAAATTTTTCAGATCCTGAAACTAGAAACATCAAGCTTCAATTTGTTTTTTTATTATTATTATTGTGCAACCATTTTGCGCCAAAGCTGTAAGCCGTTTGAAATTCACCTGAAAGTTTAGGATTTTCTTTTATGACAACTCTTTAATTATGACACTTAAGGAAAGTTACACGAAGTGTAAGAAAAGGCCTTTCCAATAACCAAAAAATCTCAGCTTAACACAGTACATAGAAGAACAGCAGATTAACAGCAGCCACCACGGGCGGATAAATCGGTCGATTCGATCATCCACGACAATCTTTTGTAAATTTAGTCACTCTTCCAAATAAATAAAAAATACTAGGCACCCTATCAAAATACATTTCATTAAAATATAATATTTATTCATAAAAATGCAGATCATTTGTTAACACAATATTTATTTTTGTCATCTTATCTATAACATAAATAATTGAATGATATAACTACACATTAAATTAACTATGCTAAAATATAAATATGGCCTTTTATTTTAGTTTACGTTGTTTAATCAACTATATCACAACAAGATCACTTAATTAGATTGCACTATTTTTTACAGTATTTATAATATTACCACATCGATACTGGGTTCATTTTTTCCGAGTATCGTCCATACCTGAAACAACAAATGATTTTTATTATCACCAGTCTATCCTAAACATGGGGTGTCCCAAATTCCACGCAAGATTTGAATTTTGCGCCATTTCTGCGGTCAAGTGTTGCCAACAAAAAAAGAGACCGCTGACAGTTCAAGGTTGTTAAAAATGAAGCGCTACCGAAAAAACAATGCGTTTTCATTGTTAAGCAATATTTTAAAAATAAGTTCATGTATTAAAAAAATTTTGAAAACAAGCTTTTAGTGACATCATTTTATTTTCGTATTCTTCTCAGCAAACCTTTTCATTTGATACCCCACATCATGGGGGTGCATCAAAAATAACTGGTCCGCCATCTTTGGGAGTCCCCCATATTTGATTTATAATAACGTCACTTAGCTAACCATGCACTGGCATCAAAACTAAAAATGTATGCAAAATTTCAGCTCAATCGGTTGGGGATAACTGTTTTAAAATTCAGTTGCAAGATTCTATACTGCAAGGCAAATTAAATAAAAGTTTGTAATAATGAAGGTTTGACAGCTACAATTCCCAATTTTCGTACAAGATATGGTGGGAATAGTGACTTAACTCCATCAACTGTGAAGAGATTAATTGAAAAATTCAGGGAGACTGGATCAATTAGTGATCTTAAACAATCTGGCAGTTCTTCAACAAGTCGCTCAACACAAAACATCGAAGTACATCTTGAGAGTGTTGCTGAGAATCTAGTAACATGAATTCGGCACCTTGTTCAAAAATTGGACATTTCGAGAAGCTGCAACAGCATATTCTCACGAAAAATTTGCTTCATGTTTACAGAGTTTAATTGACTCACGAACTGAAGCCTACTGACCACGCAGATCGAAGAGAATTCGTTGATTAATCGACAAAATTGTGGCACTTAGGATTGAGAATATCCATGAGTGATTGATGAGAAACAAAAATGTATCCACAACGTGTCATTGTTTGGTACATATTTTGGGCTGGAGGCATCATCGGATTTTCTTCGAGAATGGAGTTGGTCAGGCAAAAACAGTTAACACCATGACATGATACTCCAATTTTTTGTGCCTAAATTGCAAGATATGGATCTAGATGACGTGGTTTCAACAAGACGGTGTAACATGCCATACAGGCCAAGAAGCAATTCAGTTACTGCACGAGTCATTTCCTGGTCGTGTAATTTCCCGTTTTAGTGATCAGAATTGGCTGCCCAGATCACGTGCGTTTAAAGCTTTTGGAGTTTTATATGATAGGCATAGATAACCAAATACTGAATACTTTATGAATCAATAAAAAATTATAATTTTTATTTGAAAACCTGTGTTTTCTATCAAAATTACTTCTTGGATGAATATTGGGACATCCTTTACAACAAAAAGAAAAACGTCTGTTTTTGTATAAAATAACAAATAAATTCTTTTTTATGTACCAGTAAATTAAATACTGCTTTAAGTTTTTTATCAACACTAAACTTTTTTAGTTTCCGCTGTTATAAAAAGTAGTAATTTAAATGTTTACACCAGTGCAGTGCAATGACAATAACGCCTACTAGTTGTAATGCAAATAATTATAACTGTTATTTTTGGAGTACGTTCACCTCAAAGTTTACTAAGAAATATATAGATCCAAATGTGTATCGAAATGCAAAAATAACAATTTATGCACAAAAAAAGCGGTAAAGCCACTGACATCATTCATTACGTCACTTGGATTAATTCCAACGGTTTTGTACATAAAGTTGCCAATATCAAACACGTTTTTTGTTAATTATGTAAAAATTCAAAGGTAACATTAGCGCTGCGACAAACTTTCAAGGTCCATTTCTTCCTTTAAATTAAAAAAAAATGAGTAACATTTTCAGCATGCAAGTGTACCCAATTGTCATTTTTATTTACCCTTCTATTTTGTAATCATATCTTCATAAGCCTTGAATTTTTTTTGGGAATGGGGACTCAGTCAAAATATCAGTTTGGGAAGAAATATACAAGTAAATAATACATTTGAAATATTTATGTTGCTAATCGATTATCACTATCATTTGATATGCCTCAGTTAACCATTTACCATTTTGAAAAAACAACATTTCAAGTATTCTGTTAAAGCAACTATTTCACTCTATGAACACGCTAAAAATGTAGAATTTACAAATTTACCTGCTGAATTCTTCCTTATGTACTGGAGGCACATCTCTGGATAAATTGGATATCACAGAACCATGGGACATTGATCGGTTGAAATTATCTTGTCTGGAAAATTCATTATTGTCTTTGTAGGGATATCTCCAGGCGGAAGCCTCCAATTCGAATGTTTGTTTTCCGGCTTTACTACTTTTCGGTGAACTGTTCTCATCCCGATTCCTCGATGAAAGCCTCCTTAAACATAAAATGAGTTTGCAAGAGTTATTACTAACGACAGCACCACAAAAAAAAGTGTGCTGTACCGTGGATCAGACCAGTGCATCCTGTAGTTTTCTATCCATTGAATTCCAATTTAAAGTCAGAATTCTGAAATTGATTCGTCTCAGAAAACTCCTCTATTAAACGATTTTTGGGATTTCCAACCGACTTGAACAGTCAGTTATAAGAAAAATATTGGAATTCATGGTTTCATTGCACCTAACTTTACAACCCTATAATTCCGTAACTTATTATTTAAACGATTTTGATCGAAAAAACTCATTGACTGTACAATCAAGAAGTACGGTTACGTTCTTTCAGTGCAGATACAAAGAAAAAAGACCTCGGGTGACATAGTAACACATGATCATGAGTCTACAGGTGTTAAAGAACTACAGACTTAATTCCTCAGAGTTTCTAAAGTTATGAGGTTATAGAGTTGTGGGGTTATGGAAGCCTTCCAACTCAGTTATACAAAAAATATATGTTCCCACAGAATTTGCGAGGTTATGAGGTTCCGAGGATTAAGAAGCTACGGAGTTATGGTTTTATGGTGCAACGAAGTCATGAACTGGAATGTTTTTTCGATCACTGACAACTCAAGTCAATTTGAAACCTCGAGTTTCCTTACTTCCAAAAAACAAACCAATGTGGGAATTATATTTTAGACTGGTTTGGCCCTAGCTCCATCCACTTCTTTCATGGTTGTGTGCAATTGACTATCATTTTAATGTACTATTTAAAGACAATTTCTCGTCGTTTCACGACCGTGACAGGATGTGAAAAAACTATTTTATTTGTAAATGTCGTTCTTTATAAAACTGTTAATATTTCTCGATTTTATAATAAACCTACATTCAATTTTTTGAAAAATTTAAAGTGACTATCTTGTCCCAATATTCTGAAATATTGAAAATTCACCAAGAGAGATTGTTAGTACCTAATTCAAGAGTTTGTTCTAGTTAAACCGTAGAATTCAAATTTCGTATTTACAACAAATTTCTAAAGACATCTTATATACCTTTAAATATTTTAAAAGGTTGTTGAAAATATTAACATTTTTAAGAGTTTGGGAATAAACTGGAATATTTATACAACATACCATTTTCTCATGAGTTTAAAAATAAAAACGCTTTTTCCCGTCGGGCTGAATCATCGTAAAAGCATTATTTACACAAAAAATATATATCAACACCAAAGAATACACTTTTCCTTGAGGTTCCTTATTAAAATAACATTAAAGGTCATTTAACCAATTTAATATAATTTGGTAAACAACTTCCTCCAAATAAAGTGTTGATTGATGACTTAAGGTTATAAAAAGTACTTATCATTATGCTTTTAACTACTATTCTCAAACAGAGCCAGTAAATTATTTCCTTAAATTTGTATCCTTGTAGCGTTTAGTAATTTTTTCTTGCTCTTAAGCATATATCGAACAGAGAAATACAAAGTCTTCAAAATCAGAATATAATCGCTATAATAGGTACCTATGAGAGTATCATAAAAAAATTATTTGGCATTGGTTGTTATATCTTTGAACTAAGTTGACTCGGTCCTTTATTAATTATTATTAACCTTAAAAGTGTTATTTCAGCTATCTCAGAATTTTGTAGAAATTGTTCCTTGTTGCTTTTACGTCTTATTAAATTAGTCTGTTTTTTTTTTCTTTCACATGTAGTGTGTGATCTTAATCAGGCATAATTGTGTTGAATAATAACAAAGTAGGACCGAATAAGATTTGTTTAAAAAGTTGGAAGATACAATAACTACAGTACAGTGTTAAATTTTTGTTGTTGATACTCTTTTTAGCTGCAAAATGTTTGTAACAGCTGTGTGTTTGATACAGTAATGAAGTATCGATTTTGGGCTACGGTTGCCATTAATATTGAGTAGTCCAAGGTATGTGTAATTGTTACAGCTGCCGTACTGGATATTTTTATTATGTGAGGTAATTTTTATGTTCACTGTGTGTAATATGCTGCTGTATGAACAATATCGGTTATTTTGGCAGACATACCCAAATGTCGTAAATAAAACATACATAAAACATTTACACTTTTATCTTCTAATATTTTCATTCATCAATTTCAGGTATTCTTTTACATATGTAATGTACCTGTGGGCTGTGAAAAGTTTGGAGATCAAACTTTGGAAATTAACTGAAAATACCGATACATTTTGTTCCACTGAATGATAAATGTAAATAAAGAAAATAAATAATTTTTAACAAATACCATTTGAACACAAATGTTCTATACTCTTAATAAAACTTGTAGTGTGACTAAAAGTAACTTCCTGCAGACCTGAGAGTTTTGAACATACCTTATGTTAGATTAAAGCTTAAGCGGAAGAATTAAAGCATGAAAAAATTGTTATTAATAAAATTTAAAAAAAGTAATTCGAATTTAATGGGTACGTTAGCGCTACGGAACATTCCTACGAAAATTTTTTATGTATTCGTAATGTTGGATAATTTCATACCGTAGTGGTTCAACTTAATGGGCAATTTTACTACTTATCTTTTTTCTTCCATCATTATTATCAAATAATGTAAGTACCTAAAATGTCAAGGCTAAGAATTGCTTAGGAGTGCCAAACATTAGACATCTCATAATCGATTTTTACGGAAATAATATATATACTTTTTTGAATATCCAAACTCATGATAATTAATTACACAGGCCGACGATAAAAAACATTTTGGATTTTAGATTTTTTGTAATCCGCAAACACAGAAATACTTCAAGAACATCTAATGGCAATTTTAGGTCTTGTTTTGGGTTTTTTGAATTTCACATCATTAGAAGGTGGACCAGTATCGACACTTCTTTCTTATGACTTAAAACAATTCGTTTCTTTTAATTTTTGAAGACACTGTATCTTAAAAACAAAAGGTTTTTGAACATTTTTTATCAATTCGTGACATAAAAATCGCCATTAACCATTAAAGCTTCACCAACATCTTAACAACCAACAAAGAACCCGCAAAGAAGTCGCAAGTTATAAAACACTTCATAAAATATAAATTCTTTAAATGGATACATCTAGAAATGAATGGATAATTCTCTACCACTATTTGTTATCGTCAATAACATATGAACGAATATATGGAGGGCTCAGAAGCCAATAGCCTGTAACACAGATTAATGTTTCAACTTTAAGAAGAAACCTTCAATACGTAAGTCAATTTCCAGAGAAAAGTGACTTACATTGATTGGCTTCTGAGCCCTCGATATATCTGTATACTAAGTATTTCAAGATATGTATGTAGGAAATTTACCTTAATATTCTTGAACCTAGGCCTTCAGTCGCGGGTTCTTCTAGTTTGCTACCATTGTTACTATTCCTCTTCTTCTGAAACCGCTTCCCCCTGCTGTCTTCGATAATTATGTGTCTATCATACGGTGTATCGTAATCTACTTCCAAGATGGTAGAAAAACTGTGTGGGTATATAATTTCGACGGTTGTTATTATGACACCTGCTAATAGGCACACGCCACCTAAAAATACTTACAAATGTAACATACAGAAGATAAATAATGTGAGGATTAAGTAAATCAAGTAAATAAGTAAATAACACCAATGTTTTGGCTATCAAGATATTAGCACACTTTGTAGGTTATATTTCCACAATACCTATAAACATATTCATGTTTATTTATTTTTGTAAATAGTGCAATCTTATTACATCACCTATAAACAAGATTTTGGAAAAACTAGGAGTGGTTAGTAATTTCTAAACATTCTTGAAAAATTGATATTACCTGCTATTAGTACCAGCCAATAACACCAACCGAAACGGAAGTTTAAAATGCTCCCCTCGAGGTATATGACTAATGGTGATTCAGGCAGCATTCCAAAATATCCACAAACAGTCGACAATAACAAGAAACCGCATGTTGTCATTAAAACCGCTCCATATCGAGGAACTGCGATTAACATTAGGTTCATTAAAATCCACACAACGAAAGATGTCCTGAAATAATAAATGACTTAAGAGTATTCATTAATTTACTATGTTACACCGTATAAAGAATTGAGCAAATTTTCACTCAAAATCAACATTTTTTTTTGTTAAAATGAGTCCACGCACAATAGCTACATACTTGTATTTCATGTTTTATCAAGTTTTCAATAACAGTTACTATAAAAACCGCATTTAATATAAATAGTTTCATAATGCCAGAACGATTTCGGTAGAAGTAGAAAAACTTTTTCCACCCATAAACACCTTCTGAGAAGAGAAAAGATGAAAATCAGAAGGTGTCAGTTCAAGGCTGTGAGCTGGGTCGTTGATGACGTTCCAACCGAGTGAATTCAAGAGTTGCTTTGTGGCGTTGACTGTGTGGGGACGTAAATTGTCTTGTAACAAGTACACTCCCTTCGTTAACATTCTACTTCTTTTGTTCTGTATTACTCCTCATAGTGTTTCCAGGGTTTCACAGTACCGCACAGGAGCAAAAAGTCGATGAGGAAAACCCTTTATAGTCCGAAAACACAGTTGCCACGATTTTTCGGGCCGAAACAACGGTTTTCAATTTTTTTCGCTGATGGTGAAGACGGATTGTCTTTTCGTCCCATAAAGTTTTGATTTCGGTTTACGCTCCTCACCTCGCAGCTGGCGGAATTCGGAATAGCGGCGCTCATTTCAACACATCACTACAACAACAGTTCTCAACTGAATGAAACAAATGAGCGCGCGTTCTGCTCCTAACAACTTGGCCTTGTCGAGAACAAAAATCATAAAGCATCAGTCTCAGTACTCTTACTTTGTGAATATGCCTCGTAGATCAAAATGTATACAATTTTTATGTCGAATGAGAAAATGTCTTAATATATTTTAATACTTTTAAAGAAAATTATTAACCCATATCCGAACCATGAAAGTTTTACCAGTTTTTATTAATTGTATGTCGATAAGTTACCTTTCAAATATAATATTAACAAATAATTAGTTCAATTTTAACATTTTGGTACCAATGTTAGGGATTTTGTTCTTTATTTAAATAAAGCAACTCGGTCAGACTTCTATATTATTATCCATAAGTATATTTCACAATATTCTGTAGTACATTGTCCATTCAAACATTGCTAGAAAATATTATGTAGACAAAAGATGTTAAAATTGTAGAGATGACTTGGTAAAATCCCATTAAAATTACAAAAATATAGTCACTTTTGTTAGTATTTGCAATTACTAGAAGACCACTTAAGTAGTTATTAAAACAGACAATTTCAATTTCATTCTAAATACACCAATTCTTGATTTATTCGTTTGTTTCTTAAAATTACCCAAACGAATTGTTCCAAAGACAATAGATCATTGTATGATATTTTTAAGGCTGTTATAACTATCATAAACATCTCACAATTAATTTCGTAAAGTCATTGTTTAAAATTACGTTATTAAAGTGAAACTGCCGATTAAGAATACAATTAATTAAATTTAAATATGCAATAATTAATTCTTAAACGGATAACAAACATAATTGGGAGCGAAATATTTAACGAACCAGCTCATTAACTATAAAATAAAGTTTAATGAAAGGTCGTAGGTTGGGCATCCTGAAAAATTTATTTCATTAAAATGTCATAAAATGTTTGCACACAAAACAGATACAATCCTTTTCAGATAAATAAACAACGCCTATTCTGTCACATACATGTTTATTTAGTTGGTTAAATACAGAGGAAGATTTTCCACAGATTACGTCCCAGTGTTAATATTTTATTATGCACAGTATAAAAACAAATAAGTATGTTCAAAATATTTGGTGAAAAACTTCTATTTAAAGCACATGTTTAAGTAAGCACTAAACTGTAACAATATTGATATAATTTAGCGAGATTTATAAATTTTATAGAAAACAATCAATAAAGCTTATATAGAAATGTTTTTGCGCTGATAAAAAATGAAGAAAATGAACATTGTAGAGATGTATTCAGTAAACTTAATTATTTCAAGGTAGTAATTAATTTCGTTGAAAATATATTTCAATGCATTTAGAATGAGTAATAATCAAATAATAACTTCAATTAAAGTTAAATCAGATCATTTGCTACAGTTTGCAAGAAAATAACAAACAGCAGTCATATTTACAGTGAACAGTCAGCTCTGGAAACATTTTATTGTCCGCAGCTGTACTAGTTCTTTAAGAGTTTAAGGACTACCAAGAATTTCTTCGCCTCATTAATTAGAGCGCAAACACTGTACGCAGATCGTATAGAAAAAAATGTAACTTACCACAGCATAATAATGGCAAAATATCCCGCTGCTCTGTACTGCCCACCCCATGCTAGCCCTTCTTGGCCTAAAGTGAAATATTCAGCTACCGTTAAAATAGGGAATGGAAGTCCTCTAACTAGCGCCGTTTTAAAGCTATTACCCATTTGGTAAGAATCTAACCATAAAAATCGTTCATTAAAATCTATATCAGTCGTCCAATTGTTACTAGATGCTAAAAATAATAAAAATATACATAATTTTACATAGACAGTAAAACCCTATTTCAATTATGATAAAAATTGTATTTATTGTATTTTTTTATAATTTGTTTTTTTTTATAATTTGTATTTTACGAATTGGGCGTAGATTTTATGAAAACACCTTTTAGAGACGTCTTGTCGCAGATAAAGAACTGAATTTTAAAATACTAGCAAGGAAATTGTCATTTTCCTAAAATAATTTATAAGCATTTTATTTATGATGACGATCATCAGCATCATCAAAAAATTATATTATTTAAATTTTAACCGTACTCTGAACTTATTAAAATTTAAATTATGGTTTTTAGGAAATACCTAATAGGTGTTATATTAAAATACGGTTCGGGTTTTCCAAATATTCCTGATACAGCTGTAATTAAAAAAAGATCAGATTAAAATATATATCCGTTTTTATTAGATATTTATTTAAAATATGACAGCGATTTACTTTTTTAAACGATTAGAGATTTAACTTGAAAAGTCAAAGACTTCCACGGATCCTATTTAAATAGGATTAATCAGACAGACAGGCAAATCATAGTGATTCAATGCGCAAGCAAGTTCAAAAACATGAATTTTTACTAAATATTTTTATTTCACTTGTACATATCTAATAGATGCCAAGTATAATATAATAATACACAGTAATGTAATTTGTGATCAGATATTCCGAACAATATATCGATTTTACATTATTTTATTAGACATTGAGTTTAGGTATATTTCAAAATATTTCGCTGCCATTACATTGTATGATTGCGGTGCATTATTTGATCTGCTTAAACTTGTGCAAATACCTTTGTATATTAATACCAATAAACAAAAAAAAAAAAGTATGTCTGCTGGATTGGTTTGTTAGATGGATATAGAAACAAAAAACTTACCTTGTAAAGTAATATTTACATGCTTAAGTCCTACGTAAACACCGATGTCAGCTAGCACTTTTTCTTTTGAAAAAGCTCGATATGTGCCGTTTACATGAGCATTTGCTACGTGCCATGCTGATCCAAATATGGAGACTGAAAAAGAAAAATGAAATCAATTATTTATCAATTTTAAACAGTACTTTTATAAACTTTTCTAAACTACTATATAGACAAACAAATACAAAAAACCTACAGAGCTATAAGTCAATTGCAGTTTTTTATTTACGTCGAATTTTGTACATTTTTAACTTCGATGTAAAATGTATCCAATTTTAACCTAAATTAAATTGTATTTATATTCCTTAGAAAGTTTAAACAGTATTTAAAAATTTTATTACGTATAATTATATAGTAGGAGATTAGCCACAAAATTTGAATAACAAATGTAGTTATTATTTTAGCGGTATTTAGGTTATTGGCAATACTACGACTTTTACTGTTACTTGAGGCTAATGGATCTTTTCGAAACGTTTTCCAAGATAAAATTGTGTATTCACTGTTTAGATGTAAGAATTGTTATGATTAATAACTACGTGAAGCAATGACGCCGTTGAGATACTAATCAGGAAACACATATTTTATATAAAAAAGGATATAATAACAACGTTTGCTTTATTTCAATATATTGTGCAACCGAGACATTTTACCCATTAAATCAGCTCACCATTAATTTATTTACAATTCTAAAATAAGAAAAAGGGTAAAGTATACCTGGACTCTTATTTTTCTCATTGCTCTGTTGACTGAGTTAATAGCACCAATTTGAGCAGCAGTTATATTAGTAATGTCAAATGCATGCAGTAATGGGTATTAAGCAACATAATTTAACAGTATTGAAAATAAAGGACTCACGGAACGGAGATACTGTATTATTACATTCTAATCCATTGACTCACGTAAACGATTGCGGCATTATTAAAATGATAGGTACTTCCTTAGGCCCTGCAGTCATATAATTTGAGAGCAAGCCGCTCCGGTCTACCATTTATAAAAATTGTATGTTATTAAATCGTAGATAATGTATACTTTTGACAGAATGTGCGACTCTAGTAATAATTGCCAAGAGATTAAAATTACATGTGAATGTACGGAAAGTAAATACACACGTAATTTCCATCAAAACCTAAAAGTGCGGGGAGAGTTGAAATTTATTTGTATTTATTGTTTTAGCAGTCACTCAAGGTCTTTTTAAAATAATTTAGTAAAGAGCTTCCTTCGTAAACTTCAATACAATTCTATTGTAATAATTTATTCGATCATTAACTTTTTTTCTAAAAATTGACTGGTATTTCTACAACGGAAACAATAACACAAAAGGGATCCTTAAAGTGTCTAAAGTACAGGGTGATTCACTATATTTTGACCCCCCTTTAACTTTTTTGTTTTAAGAGTTATAAAAAAATGTGAAATATAAAAGCTACACGATTTTTTATGAATTTTTCGAAAATAATAGTAGAACAACAAATGAACTCCAAACAAAATGGCCGCGGATGTTAACTTTGTTAAGTTAAATAGAACACCCTGTATATTTTTACATATTTGGATAGAACGTTCCCTGTCGAGCATAGCCATATAGGGTTTGTTGGGTCCATCTCTAACAATAAGCAAGATACTTTTAAAAAACGAAAAGAAGGTTTTTTATTAAGAAAATAATACATCTTGTAATTGTTAGACCTCTTTCAGGCATTTCTGCCTCTTTTCCAATTACGTAAGGATTTACACATTTAGTTATAATATATTTTGACAGATCGGACATTGATACGGTCCAAAATGCGTATAGGTAATGTAAGGAAATCTCACTAATTAGGCCGCGAGAGGTCTAATTCCTCATGGACATTATATGGTAGGTCGTGACAGTGACAGGTAGTAATGTGACAGTATGTATTATTATTTAATTAAAATAGGTTACACATAAGTAGAAAATTATTTAGAATTAAACTAGTGTATAGAAAAGAACTTTGCTCTATTTTAATTCCTATAATATTTCAATTTTCTACTTCTACGTTTGTTTTAGTTTTATACACAATATTTTTTAGGGCTCCCCACAAGAAGAAATAAAGTGGGGTTAGATCTGGGGCTCTCGGAGCAAATTGTAAAGGGCCATTAGTACCTATCCACTTATTTTCAAATAATGGATAATATTGGATATCTGACCGTAGTTTTCTATTAGAATCAACTTTTCTTAATAACGATTGTGGATACTGTAAAAAATAAAGGTACTTTACTCTTGAGCAAAATTTACATTTTCGACAAACCTCGTAAACAACTGCAAAAAATTGTAATCTGATTACTTCAATTTGGGTTTTAGGCTATGCAGAACTTTTTATCAAGAATAACTTTTTTTCATAAAACCAATAATAAAAAAGTTTCCCATATGACGCCGACATAATTGGACACACTGTATATGTTGTTTCAAAACTCGAATAGTGTTACTAAAATCAACTAGTCAATGAAAATTGTGACTAAGTATGTAATATGCTCCATCAAATAACGCTTCATAATGTTTTCAGATATAGCAAATTTATTACTTACATTGCTAAAACAAATAACTAATGGGTACAAACCTAAACAATCGAAAATATTGAAACTGGATGATGTCATGAAAATTTTAAGGAGTTGAAATTATTGTAAATATTTTCCTCAATAATTTTAAGGATTTGGTATTACAAGTTGTTGCAATAATAGGTTTGTTTCGGGCATACCGATCCAAAAAATTATATAGGTTAGAAAATTCCAATGTTCCAAACTAAGTTCTTGCTTAATTTTTCATTACCCACAAAAATGTGGATCAACAGAAATACTGTACCATTCAATCTGTAGGAATAAATAGCTTGTATAATATTCCTAAGAACATTACAATTTTTTTAAGCTGTTGGATGCAAAAATGAAAAAATATTAATTCTACAATTAATTCAAACGAAAATGAATACTAAAAATAAGTTGTATATGAATAAATAACAATAAAAAATTTCAATTGTTAAAATTAGGTTTTTATTTTCACAATTATTAATACAAGTTTTTTTAAAAAAATGATGTGGGACGTTCATTGGTGCACATACAAAAAATTAAAATCAAATGCAAAATATGAGTTGTAGAAATCCTAAATATGTGTAAAAAGTGAACAAAAAAACTTAATAAATACCAAAAATATTTGAAAAACTTTGAAAGAAAACTGACTAACGACATATATCTCAAAATTGATTCACATTGAAAACAAATAGGCACATGCTTATAATACAACATGTATATTATTTTAGTATTGCTTTAAACATGTTAATAGATTCGTATTAAAAAATATCACTTGAAATATTGAATTGAAAATCTAATTTATTTTATTTCTTTCATCGTAAACTCTCACTATTTCTTAGATTTACCAATATCAAATTGGAAAAGTATGACTTAAAAATATATGTATGTACAATTTATTGTAACTATATTCTTAATATTTATTGTTAATTAAACTTGTAATTTAAACACAAAATTAGTAAGTAACGGCCTTAATAAATATAAAAAAATATTTTAAGTTAGTTATTCATTTATACTAATTTTGATTTTAAAAACAAAATAACCCTGAAAATAAATAGACTTACTTAATATTGTGGCTCCTACAAACAAACTTAAGGTCACAGCACAGAAAGTCGTAAATTTCTGAAACAAAAGGACACACTAAATACGGATTCACAAGAATTGATATAAAAGATCATGGAGTAAAAAAAAAATAAATATCACTAGTGGGAATACCCACTTTCTGTCTAAAATATGCTTTATTACACTCAAATTAAAAAACACATTTATTTACCTACAATTTCAGCCCACAATTTATTTAGCAATTTATTTTCATATAAAAGTTTGGTGTTTTTGACAAATTAATTCGTAAAAGTGTCTTGCCTATTGCAAAATGGTGTTTGTTGATTTTTATAATATGATAAATATGTAATTTGCAGTCTACAACGTATTAGCATCAATATAATCCATTAGAACTCGTGACTGTAAAGGATTATTCGTTTAATATTTGTCAGAGTCAAAATATAAATCAGTAACTGTAACATAACACTAATACAATAAAAAAGTAAAATGTCGCTAACCCAAAAATCTATTCGTTAAGCACAAGTTAACCTTTAAAAGACATAAAAGCAAAACAAAGGATTTTCTGCTTCTGCAAGCTTTCAAACAATAACGATTAGTATTTCGTAAAAAAAAAACAACTATGTAATTGGAATTCAATCAATGGATTGTTTTTGAGAAAAACATTCATCCATTCATTAAACAGTACTCAGGTGGAGAAAGCATTGCATCTAAGCAACAAAAACCTAATTTAGCAGTGTGTTTGTAATAATGGAGACCTAAATATGGAGTTAATTCGGCATTTTGTAATATCCTTAAGAAAAATATGTGAATCTAAAACGGAACAAAACGTTGTTGTCGATCTGGAAGCCTTGAATTTTAAGTGGTAGTTTTATAACTTTTGCAATGTTTCTAATTGAATTTTGAAAAAAGCATATTTGAGTGCAATTTCGAACGGAATATAAACAAATTTTGTATGAACAACCCCATGTTTTTTACTTTTCAGTATCGGAAAAAAATTATAAAAACCACAGCTTTAAGAAATTTTCTTGTAATTTTAAAGAAATATACTTATATAAAAGGCATTGTATTTGCAAAGATATAGTCCAAACGATTGTTTTCTTAAATGGAACACCCTATATATGTATAATTTTTTGGATCCCTCCCTTTTTTCTGATGTTACATGTCCTTGAACCGCCAATACATAATCCATTAACTTTTAAATCATTAGGTTAATTAGAAAATACCAGACAAAGACCACTTCTATATGAAAATATTTCGGATGTGACATATGACATGTAGATATTAGCTATAAAAAGAGAAATGCATAAATCCAATCACGTTACGAACCAACAACGATGCCATTAATTATAGTTCAATTTCACCTCGTACTTAGAACTACATAGTCACCATCATAAAATGCTAATTTAATTAGTATATTGGTCAAGGTTTATTTTGTTAAAGGACTTCGTCGGTGCATAGTTATTTTTATTGCGTCTTATTACGTGAATTATTTTATAGCGTTTTATAAAATAATAATACACATTTACATGGAATATGGTACAGAATCCTTGTTTTAAGCAGCAGCAGCAGCAAAGTGACAGCATTTTTTAAATTATCATTGAAAATTTGAATAAAGTTTCTTAATTTACAGTTTTTATCCTAATTACAATTTACAAAATCCATAACGTTAACAGAGCAAATATAATAGCATATTAAGAGGGTCAAAATGTCCTTCATAAATTTATTTTTGGTATAATATTAAACTTTGGATTGCAAAATCCACAAAACACATAAAATTATTCTTAAAATGCTTAATAAAAGTTGTAATATGTAATTAAATACGGCATTAATTTTTTCCATACTTTAGAGTTATATTCCTTTAACAATTTTTGTTATATCCAGTGCTGACTTAAATTACAGAGAATTTTAACAATTTATTTGCAATTCAAGTTGTGGCAAAACCGTACTGTATAGCCAAGGAGACATATAACCAAATGTTTGTATTTTTTACAAAAAATTAATTTGGTTGTTAAACATGTTAATCAAATATGTACAATTTTGTCATATTTATACGCCAAATACTGTTATGGAAAATGGAATTCTGTTAACTCTTATAGCAGAATTTGTTGAATAAACGCGTTGAACGTTGACAGATGTATTGTTTTATTCTATTTTAAAGGTTGCTAATTCAAACAAATTCAAAAATCTTCTTCGACACCAGAGTTATTCAAAATATATCACTTTTGTTGCTGAAACTGTTATAATAAGACATAAAAGTTAATAAACATACAGGGTGTTTATTAAGTACTTGCACAAACTTTAAAGGATGAATCTAATGATACAGAGCGTTAAAAAAATTGTTTGGTATTTTGATTATATTTTTGTTCAATAACATCGCAATTTGATGAAATTCGGGAAACTGGGAGTAATGAAGATGAGAATCTCAAATATTTACTTAGTATTTTGTTTAATGTTAGTGGGAGCCACATACAGTGTTGTATTTGGATTTAAATAACCATAACTTTTTTGTGTCGCACTGCATGTAATTTTTAACTAAACATACCTATTCTCCATTCAATTTTATGTATAAAAGCTACTCTTAATATTTGTCGCTGAAAGCAGCCGTTTTATAAAAAAAAAGTTTTTGAAGAACAAGTAAAAAAATGTGTTTTTATTGATTGTATTGTGATGTGACAAACTTCATTTTCAAGACTAAGACTAGTCCTAACTTTTACTGTTGGATCTAATGGTTAAAAAGAACAAATGTATGGTACTTATAAGACATTAAAGTAACATTATCATATAATTGAGAAATATTATTTCAGACAGTTTAAATTTTGTTTTTTGTTATGCTAATATCGTAGATATCAATTATAGCTGATACTTAAAACATAGAACATATAAATTATTGCTCAAACCTGAAATATGCCAAGTAATACATCAAATAGAATCGTAATAGATACCTTTCGAAGGCAATGTGTTAACAGTTCTTAATGTAAAAAAATTACTTGCAACAAATATGTAGGCTTCAGTAAATATTATTATTTATCTACCTATTAGAGCTTACAAGGACAAATACTTCACAGTTTTGCAGATATTTAATTGTTGGCTATTAGTTCATTGAAATATGCTAAAAGCAAATATTTAAGTATTAAAAAAAATAATGCGAAAGTGGTACTTGTTCATATCTATTTAAATCTATGTAACTACTAGAATCAAAATTAAAGAAGCATGAATAAATTCATACTAAAAATGCTAATAAATTCAATAAGAAATTATGCAACAAACTGATAAAAAATGCTAGCGTCACATGATGAGACAGCACTAGTATGACATAAGTATAATTTATAAAACTATATTAATTAGTCTAACACAAAAAGACGAATAATTAAAAATTATGATATTTTTTATTTCCAGAGTAGCTAACCTGAGTTCACATTTCCCATCAATTTTTGCATAAATAAGTTATGCATGTATTTAAGATTAAGTGAATCAGCGACCTCAAAAAAAATATTTTTTATTTTCATATTATGCCAGAACGAATGACCGTTATTTTCTATGAATATTTTAAACATAATAGACTTAATTTAACTGGTACTGCTTTTTATATCGTAAAAGAAGCTGGATGGAGACAAAATCAAAATTACCATAAGCTCGACATGATACATTTAAAATTCAAGATATACTCAGTGTTGTGCATTATCTTGATTATTTTGTTTAGGCCAATCATGCATATTGCAGATAACATTTAATTATCTTTTATTTTATTTAAACTAAATGTGTCCAATCTATCATCTTTCAGCTTATTTTAGATTAAATTACTGATTAGTTCTTATCTGAAGGATGGGCTTAGATAAAAGTTGCAATATCCATGGATATTTGCATAATGTTAGTGTTCATTTTATATGTCTGCTTGCAATAACCATCAACCATAATAATATATGACTTTGATACCTTTGTCTCTGTAGTAATTAATATATGATAGATAGATCACAAGAACATCAAACTGTTTATCATTATCCAATTATACCAGTTACACACTATCGCAACGACCATAATCTTTAACTTTTGTAACACGCTTATTTTGTGCATAAAGATAAGCGTTATGCGGAAAACAGTAACCAAGATCTAAAACAATAGCTGATAAGATTTACTATAAATATATGTGACCTACAAAGCGCAGTTTGGTTGTATATTAGCATAGCAGCTGTTGTATCGTTATTAAGTTGTGACTCAAAAGTTTATTCCATGAATTCAACATACAAAATATACAGTGTGTATCAGCCAAATGGAATAAATTCAATTATAAATAAATGGGGGCGTGTTCGAAAAAACGCTCGAACACGTCGATTGGTATTTTTAGTTGCGCATTTTTTTCAGCAAAAACTTTTTATACTTGGTGTGTCAGTAACAGTGGTCAATACCAACGTTCTTATTTTAAATACAACACCCTGTATATTATTCAATTATTGGATTCTTCAGAAAATTATAGACATAGGTATGGCGAGGATCGGTGGAATGGACAACACGATCCCCTGATCTGACACTATTAGACTTCTTATGGGAATATGTATACAAAACGAAACTCCTCGACTTCGCTGACTTAAGAAGACGAGGGGTCACGCCTGAGATGTTGAGTAACGTTAGAAGAAATTTGTATTTAAGATTAGGATGTTGCCAAGACGTTCCAGGCGAGCATTTTGGACATCTCCTACATTGACATTAATGTTTTTTTTTTGCTTTTTTACATTATCAATGAATAAACAGTATTACTTATTAGTTTTTGAGTGTGTTGTAGCGAATTGCTGTAATTAAATAATTTTCTTTTTTTTATTGTTAATTTTTGCAATGCCTACATCTGAAAACACTTTATATTTCCTAAACAGTTGAGGATAGATATAGGACATTGTACATGAAATATATCTAGAATTTTCTGAAGAATCCAAAAATTGAATAATATACAGGGTGTTGTATAAACAGAAATGTTAAAACTTTATGCAAATTGCTGTCATTAAATAATTTTCTTTTTAATGTTAATTTTTGCAATACCTACATCTGAAAACACTTAATATTTCCTAAACAGTTGAGGATAGGTATAGGACATTGTACATGAAATATGGCTAGAATTTTCTGAAGAATCCAAAAATTTAATAATATACAGAGTGTTGTATAAACAGAAACGTTAAAACCTTGTGCAAATTGCTGTAATTAAATAATTTTCGTTTTTTAATGTTAATTTTTGCAATACCTACATCTGAAAACACTTAATATTTCCTAAACAGTTGAAGATAGGTATAGCACATTATACATGAAATATGTCTAGAATTTTCTGAAGAATCCAAAAATTTAATACTATACAAGGTGTTGTATAAACAGAAACGTTAAAACCTTATGTCTTTAAGGTACCAAAAATTTCTATCACCATACTGTGAATATATGTCAACCTAAGAACCGCTTATTACAAAAACATTTATTTAAGAATGTCTCTTAGATGCAATACAACATACTAGAACTTATTTCACTTCTCTCGTATCCAAAATATCACTGTAATTTGCATTTTACTCGCAACAACTATCTTCTAATTAATAAAGTAAACACAGAATAAAGTAAACATAACAAATAAAATTCTTAATATAAAAAAATAAACAAAACCAATCTGAAACATCCAGAAACGAATTCAATGTTATTGAAACTCAAACATTATTATTCCTAAACTAACCGGAACATTAACATTTAATAATAATTGTACTTTGCATAACTGCACTTTCAACAAATATTAATAACTAATAAGTTATGTTTTTGTTTTATAAGTTTATGGCCGTTAAATATTCTGTTGTAGTTCTATAATTACCAAATTATTGGCGGCATCACAAAAAATATTGCAGATAGTACTTTGCAAGGTTACTTTACTGTAAAGTACCACTTTCTGATGTTGGCACGTAAATAACTATTATATGTGTATAGATCATAATAGTGAATTGAAAGTAACAATTATGATAATGTTGTTAATATTTACCTCTTTCCTAATACCCGGGAAAATAATTAAAAAAGCCACATAAAGCGTACTGAAGATGGCTAAGAACGTAATGACCGTAACGTCACCAGTCACAGCAGTCCGATTATTAAAACTGTAAAGTGTAGGACCACCATCATATCGAAATGCATCAAACCACCCCTTCATTGCCAGTCCCTCCTGAAACAAAAAAAAAGGATATTTGTAAATGCATAGAAGCAATTGTCAGATATTCATTTCATAGAACTTCCTTAATAGTTCAATTTTGTAAACGCAATAAGGATGAATTTTTACCTTTTTTATATGAAGAAAAATGAGAAACGTTCTGATGTCAATTTTTTATTTTAAATGTAGAGATGTAGCATGCCTTCTACTTTACAACTACAGCATCATTTTTTTTAAGTAGCAAGGAACCAATTGTACCTAATTTGAAAGGATTTAAAACTATCTCTCAAATGGTAAAATAAATTGAAGTTTGCATGAGTAGTTTTGACAATTTTTTTTCTTGACAGCGACTTGTTTTTATGAGATTATCTTAGATTCAAGGTGTATACCCAAAATACAATTTGAGCATATTTTCACGTATACTTTTTTGAACAAAAAGTAAAAGGAAAACAACTAGAACATTCAGCATAAAATTACAAAAATTCGTGTTCAAAAAATAATTTTAAAGTTTATTCAAAATGTACAACTTTACAGCTATTTTAATAAATTTATCATAATAGTGTGACTTATGAAAAACAAAAAAAAATCGACATGTCCGAATAGTTTTTTTTTAATAGCATACAAAAATAATTGAAACACTATGGTACACAGACAAAAAAATTTCAACCCCGCCAGAACTACCCTTCCTGAATAGTATATACATTTTGTCCTAACACTATTGAGACTAAGTAAAATTTTACATAGTATGGAAAAATTTTATTTGGTTAAAATTTGTGGCCAAACAAAATTCATTATTTTAATTTCCCTGTTCTCAGAGCTCCAAGTCTGTCACATTATTTTTTACACCCTATACAACGAATTCTCTTATCAAAAAGCACAATAATTTGGCGCATTTTATCTTTCTCTACATCCTGCCTTTGCAAGATGGCTATGACTATTATAAAAAAATCTGAGAATGAATTTTAATTATTTGTCACATAACGAAAACTACTCTCGAAAATAAGCACACCGAAACCATTGACACTAATTTATATGGTATATTTAAACTGTTTTGTGTACCTACCTACATATTTGGGTTTCATTTCAATTTGTAAACTTTTGTTTTTGTTCGTGTAATGGAAGTAATTGTTTGCATTTTCTCTATTTATGTGTTTATCACGTTCAATATAAGGTGACCCCAAAAGCGAGCCATGGCTTTTTACGTTCAATCAAAGTTAAATAGATTTTACTTACATTTTGTAACCAGTAAGTTTAATTATGTGCAAAATTATTCACATTTTTCCATTTTGTTGTAATTTACTTCTCTCTACAGTTGTATTATTCGTATATGAATATGGATGTATTCAATTTATTAGTACATCCATATTCTACGTAATTCTACATAAAAAAGGTATACTTGTTGAAAATCGGTATAGTGTGCCGTTTTACCAAAAATATCAGTTGAATAGGAGACTGTTCTTTAAATTCTTCCAAATTTGAAGTCATGAAATATGTTATTTAACGCAAATATGTACTTGTATTACCAAAAATGGCACATTCTAATTTATTTTTTATTTATTCCTTATAAAGCATAATAATATTTGTAAATGTTTGACGTCAAACCTTATAACCGTACTAAAAATGTCGTTATATTTTTTTTATAAAGAATAAAGTGTGACAAGACTATTTATAGCAAAATTAACATTCTTTTTTTCGATTAAATTACTATCTCCGGTCATGTAAATATTCCATTTGCATCAATGAAACCGACGTCTATTTAAAGTGACTATTGAACACACCTATTTTTATGCATCCAATAACGTGGCCTCCAAAACCAATGTCATGGTCAGATATAATGAATTTGTAATGTAATGATATACAAGAAGCTTTGCTAATGGTGACCGTCGAGCAAGTGAAGAGGAAATAATTATGCAGACAAATTTATTTGAATAACTTATTTTGGTAAAACACCTGTTTAAATTATATTAGGTATACATGGTTCGGAAGGATAAATAGAAGATTTCACGGCAAAGCAACGTAAAATGAAATTTAAATATTTGTGTTTTCGAAAATAACGGTTTCTCTCTGTGGCGTCATTTGTTGCGTGTACTCAATTAAAGCATAAATAAAATGCATTATTTCCGAGAATATTAAAATGGTCAACATTACGTCAACTGAAGTTTTAAGCATAATACGCATGCAACCCATAGAAAATGATGAAAAATGTTAATATTTCAAAGTTGTATAGCTAATACATATTAGCAAGATATGAGAAAAAAACTACAGCTCTATTCTGAAATCTTTTCTTTACCTACAAGTCCAATATTGACGTTAATACAAAATTTTGATACTTCAGGGAAAAAAATTCCATCTTAGCATTTATGCAACAGAAATAAACATTATGCCTTTTTCATATTTTTTTACCGTCTCAAAAATAAGGACGCTTATGGCAGACCACCAAGTATATAATACAATACACTGTGTCCCAAAATGGTGGAAAAATTATTTTTTTTCCGAATTGGATGCAAGAAAAACATACACAACGGCTGGAAAAAGTGAATGTTTGGGCTGGAATAGTAGGAAATCGCATACTGGGACTTTATTTCTTTGAGGACAATTTCACAGGCGACACTTATTTGGATTTTTTGCGTTTTCAGTCGATTCCAGCCCTGGAATTAATTTTTCCTAACCCTAATGGGCACGATATGCCTGCTGGTGATGTCTGGTTCTAACAAGATGGTGCCCCTCCACATTTTCGCCTCGATGTATGAAATTTCCTTAATGAAGTTTTCCCAATTCAGTGAATAAGCAGAAGGGGACCGCATGAATGGCCACCACGCTTCCCTGACTTAACCCCACTGGATTTTTTTATGGGGTTATCTAAATAGCAAAGTGTATGTGAACAGACCTGACACTTTCGAAGGATTGAAAAATCTTAACATAACACCAAATGTAAATCAAAATATAATTGATAACATTGAACACCGAATTGGTGCAATGGTTAACTTTGAACTTTGAACATTTGCTGTAATAAAATAAAAAGTAGTACTAAATTATTGTTTTCATTTAATTCCTCCATTTTCCAAATTATGAAAAAAAGTTAGGAGGGCTATCTATTTATACTATAAAACATAGAGCATCCCATTAAAAAAAAATAGAAAATATTGCAAAAAAATGATAGTTTCTAAACAAGTTGTTACTGTTAATAATAATGAAAAAAATATAAAATTAACTTGGTTGAACTGAGGAAGAAATTTTTATTTCAAGGTATGCCTTGATCAAAGTAAAAATTCGACGTTTCCAGGGGTCTTTGTTCATTCATATATAAAGGAAAGAAGGCATATAGTAAGCAATTATTAAATATTTATTACATTAAAGGTACATTAATTTATTAAACTGATATAAAGTACTTACATCTTCATATCCTATTGAAACCACTTAGTTAGGTATTCCGATATAAAAGAATTCAAGCTATTGAATAAACATAAAATATAATTAATAAACAAAAAGAAAATATTTTATTCACGATCACAGAAAATAAAAATAATAATATACGTCAACTGAGTAATAAATACACTGTGTTATTAATATATGTACATAGAAAAAAACTTTACTGCTGATATTTTATAATAACTTGATAATTTAATAATTAGCACCTTCATAAATTATAACGTATTATATTTGTAACTATTAAAAAGTAATTATCTAAAAAAACAAATGTGTAGAAAGGTCAAGTGAGACCACGTAAATTAAAGAATATTCCAGATCAAACTTCTGGCACTGACGCAATATAAACTGATCATTTTTTTTAATTTAAAATTAGGTAATAAGTTTCTATTGATTAAAAAATTATTTGAGCTGCCTACACCTGATTGACAACGTAAATATTTATAATTAGGTTAATTAATGTTCCGTGAGTTTTTCATAACAAATAACAAATTATCATAGTTAATCCGCTAGACATATGACTTCAAGGAAATATAATAATTATAAATTTAAATATTTTTAAGCATCATTAAAATTGTATCTCTATAAATTAAAAAAATACATACCATTTAAATCAGAATTGTTTTGTAATGAAAGAATTTGTTTCAAGGACCTCCAAAATTGGTAACTTTTATAAGATCTGCCTATTTGTTAACCATTTTATTTATTTATTTTTTTTGGAAAACTCACTATCTAAGTTATTCCAAAATGGAAATACCTAAAAAATAAAATCTATAAAACACAGCCAGCATCGCTGGAAGATTTGCGTCAAAGAATCGTCGACGAATGCCGTCGAATCACTCCGGAAATGCTTCGGAATGTGCGCGGACGTTTCGAACAAAATCTTTGTTCTTGTATGGAAGCGGGCGGTCATCAGTTTGAACATTTAATCAATTAAGTAGTAAGTAAGCAACTAAACATAATTTAAATTTTAAAATGTAATTTTTTTTTTCAAAGTATTGGGCGGAATTATAAAATTTAAAGTCTGTTGTAAAGAGAATTGTAAGAGCTTTCAAAAGAAATATTACTCAATGCCATTTAAATATTTTGGGGTGATGCTTACCCTTGCTTGGGGGTGAAAATGGCGGAGTCAAAAATACCAGCAAAGAATGGCCCCCTTTAATCTAAAATCGACGGGTCTGAGCGTTTTTCTACAATTCTGACGCAGTTCCTGCAAATGGCCCTGTATCGTTTTCATTTGGCCACCCTGTATATTACCTACTAATTACTGCGTGTATCGATCGCTATGTTTAGTTTCTCTCTAAATAAATAGTCAATTTGTTATTAAAAATGTTACTGTCATTATTCGTGACTAGGTTTATTATTATCGTCACCCTATTATTTCGAAATCCACAAATTTTTCAAGGTGATAATGATTTATGGTAAAGATATAACCCTGACCTTTAGTAGTTTTACCACACTAAGTTTTCGTTAGCAAAATTTCATTATTTTTTCTTGCTATATTTCTAAAACAGTCAATTTATACCTTGCAATTCTTGTATGTTTCAATTTTCTACTATTAGTGTCTAGGTATATTCTTTTATAGCGTC